CACGCTGGTAATGAGGTTGACCGTATGAGGTATCCATCAATGAAATGGTCACGCAAATCAAGCTTATAGGCAGATCCTGGTGAAAAACGTAACATGTAATCCAACCACCTGGGTAGGAAGGCATAGGACTCATCCCAGTCACCGTATACTTTTACAATAGCCTTTTGCCTTGCCTTCCATGCCTTCCTATATGATATATGGAATCCAAGGATTGTAGCTATCCTTTCTTGGATTAGCGAAATTTTGACACTGGGCTCCTCTCTTATCATTTCTGAATGTGGTCAAACAAGAATGTATTAGTTAACTGAAACAAGTAATTTAAAAATTTGATACCTTAACTTGTACGCACCTAAGATCAATGAACAAATGAGATTTGAGTCCAACTGCTTGTGATCCTGGGTCAGACTCTGACTGACACATGTATGTTTGTTGTTCCATATGCCTATAACCCAATCAAGGCCACCCTTTTTTTGGTATGCTCTCATCCTCCATGGACAACCAGCGTTATGATTTTGACAAACCATTATCAACCTTTTCGTATCACTTTTCTCTACGACTGTTGTGCGATGATTTTCCATACAATATTGTTTAATTGCCATCTGTACATCTTGTTTGGAGACGAACAGTTGGTCCTTATATAGCTCGTGGCCCATCTGCCAGTTAGGTATTTGTGCTCCATGCATATCTTCCAATTCTTGATCTGGATATTCCCAATTAACATTCGTGAAATGGCTGATTCCATCCCAAAATGGTACATTATCATTTCCTGCACAATAACATATCCAAAATCCCAAAATCATATAATTTGTTAATATGACATTACATAAACCACTAACACGGTTATTAATGGTTATATACCTGCAACTGGAGGGTCTTGCATTCCAACAATGTCGGGCGAAGGAATTGGTTGACCAACTGCAGTAGACGGAACAATCAAAATCACCATCCACATCTGTATCCGATGACTCGCTGTCCGGAACAAGACCTTCATGAATCTCTTCCTCGGAACTATCAGTACGCCATGCTGGATCGTACATGTCGTGGACCGGCAAGGTTTCATCAAACAATTGTTGAGTTTGTGGTGCAAGCGCGGGGGACGCGTCCTCATCTTCCGGATTAACCACTGCCACCATGTTTACGTCGATGATATCAGTGGATGGTGGAGAAAGTTGACTGCTTGATTGTCCACCATAGTTGACTTCTGCATAAAATTCAATAAATCTTGACTCACCGTATTCTGAAGTGCTTGCATCTACTACTAACGTTACATCTTCATCTTCAACAATTTCCACGCCAACCCATTGCACGGGGTTACCAGAGGCACATCTAGCGGTCAATCGAGCAAGAGTTTGACCGCGTTCTAATCTCAACTTCTTGTATATTATCTTCTTAAGCTCATGAAGATTGCATGTTGGGCTCATGTGACACATTTTTGCATCGCCTTCAAAAATTTGCCCGTTTGGTCCAAAATATTTTCTCCCATTATAATAAACTGTGGCGATTACATCATTCCTACCCTCACTCATCTTACAAAAGTAGAAAATAAACTAACATTCACAAAAACAACACAAAAGTAGTAATGTTGTATATAAAAGGAAAATTTTCGCACACAGAGTCCGCTCCTGAAATGGAAGTGTGGTCATTTATAGTAACAAACTTCACTAGAGGTTGCACCATTTTATTGAACATAATTCGCTATGCCCCCTAGCGAATTACTAGGGAGCTAACACCTGTCTATTATTTGTCTAATCGGTCCCTAATTCGCTATGAATCATGGCAAAATAAGCACGTAATTCGCTAGGTAGTACAACGAATTTTGGGGGTATTGACACGTGTCTTGACAATGACTAGACATGACTGGCCATCTGACACAAAATTCGCTACTCAGTGTAGCGAATTATTGGTGTTGTGACACGTGTCCAGCAACTGACGACATGACTGACTCCTGGTCAACATAATTCGCTACACAGTGTAGCGAAATACTCCCGATTTGACACGTGGCATTCTTGCTGACTGGACATTCTGAGTTGGCATATTTCGCTACGAACTGTAGCGAATTATTTGCAAACATAATTCGCTACACTGTGTAGTGAATTATCACGCGTGGCATTTTGGAAAATTTTACTGTTCGCGTGGCAATCTAGTAATTTTTTTGTCAAAGCGTGGCAAAATAGTCAGTGTCCCAAGCATAGGACCAAACCATTGATGACTGATCATATCTATGTTAGGAGTGATTGTAGTCTGGTTCAAGTGAATGACCCGACCCATTAGACCTAACTAATTAATTTAAAAAAAAAAATTAATTGTTTAGGTTGTAAAATTGATTTTTGCTCAACATGAGTCAAACTTCAATTGGTTCAAATATTGGATTTTGATTTCTTCAACTCGATCAAATTCGAACCATTATAATTGTCATAAAAAGTTATTAATTTTAAAATATCTTAATATAAAATAGGGATTCTATTTTCTCATGTTATTGGATATAATTATTTCCTACTATAGACACATGATGTGGTGGGACCCACCACTTATTAAAAAAAAGAAAAATAGTGACACAATTTTTAAAGTGAGAATAACATGAGATAATTATCTTATGTAAAATGAGAAATGACATCGGTTGGTATAATTTGTTTAAAAGAAATAAAAACGAAGGTCAATTCAATCACCGTAGTCGAACCAACATAGTCATGGACTCATGGCAGCTTAATAATAAAAATTTTCTTAACTTGACCTAATCCAACCTCATTGAATTTAATTAGCTCAGTATTTATTTGTGTTCAAAAGTGTCCCAACCTCATTAAATATAACAAAACTGTAGTAGATTAAGGTATTTCGAAAGAAAAAAAAAGTTCTGGCATTCATCAATACATAATGATCTGATCACTGCCATCATCCATCATCAACATTGCTAGCGCAGTCATACTTCAATCAGAAATTCTCCTTACAATTCTCTTGGTTAAAATTTACTTCATTAGTTCCATTACTATAATCACAACTTCACAAGTACTTGTAGTAGCACAATGATCATAACTAGCACCATCATAACTTTTTGCAACTTTCCCATTTCTGCCATGTCTATAAAGTTTTCCAATGTGGGGTTCTTCTATTTGGTGAAATAGATTGTTTTCTCAGTCTACTTTTATTTCTTGATCATATTGATTGGCAAGAAAATATGTAACAACATAAGCAGAGGCATTGTTTACAGCTTTGAGCCTAACAAGCAGAACTTTTTAGCAATCTTTTGGGGAAGAACTGGTATAGTCTGAAAAGAGTGACAATGCAAGAAGTTTGTCTCCACATGTTAGCTGGTCCCATTCAATGTTCCCCTCACTGTTCTTTTACCCTTCTTCACCTTCCCTTTCTTTTTTCTTTTCTCCTTTTGACCATCTTCCCATTCAAAAGGCATAGTTTTGCTTTTTGGTGTGAAGAAGTAGCATATGTTTTATAAATTATGGGTTGAAGATCTTCAGGTAGAGAGTGAGATCTCTTGAGGGCCCTCATGTGCTACCTTTCTGCTGTTTGTCTAGTTCAGCTTTAATAACTTCAGAACCGTACAGTAGTTTCACTCTTCTTCTTTTTTATTCACTTTCATTCTAAGGGAAGTTCAAGATTTTTGTAATATAGGGAAACTTCCTTATGCAATGATTCAAATATACACTCAGTAACAGTTGAAACTTAAAGGACATGTAATCTTTAAGTCAAGCTCAAAATTATACATTATAGTATATGATTGTTCTAGTTTGTGAGAGGTTTGAATAATTTGTATGAATTTATAGGTTTGAATATCAGTGCCACCATTATATCCAAAAACAAAATTATATACTAGGAACTAAATAACTTCATGATCAAGTAGTACTATCTTAAGAGATTTGCTATCACTTGAACTATACAGCTCAGGTAGGGAGATTTCATTGATGTACTTAAAAGAATGGATTTTAATAATTCCTAATTCACAGTTAGGATGAGGTCTATTATGAAATGCCAACATCAATTTACTTATCCAACTGATATCGTGAAGTCACATTGTTTACAATAAATATAACATTTGGCAGCTTGTTGCTGTGACGGATTTTTCAATTGGACTATATATCTTTTGACCGTAAATTTAGATAAGGCTTTCGGCAACCTTTTGTCAACGTCACAAATCCTGTAGAAGTCACCCTTTAATCCTTTATCAATTGTAAAAGGGATATCTTTTGCTATTCAAGTGCGGAGAACTATTGAATCAGGGGTAAAATGTCCAATAATCACTAAAAGAAACACCCTAATCAATTTAGTTATTTTGGAATCAACTTGTCAATGATTTTTAAGTTCTGTCAATTATATTATTTTACCACGATAGAAACTTTTCATCACTCAGGCTATTAAATAAAGGTCACATCAATAATTTTTATATTTTTTCAATGAAAAAAGTGTTTATCCTTTTAAATGACACAACTTATATCCTTTCACTCTCACAAAGAAGTGAGACTCACACCTTTATTTTTTTTTGTCAACTCTCTCTTCTCCTTTATCTATATCTTTCTCTCTCTTAAAGTGACAACTTTACATTCCTTTAAAATGACACACACTTTACCCTTTTTCAATATGCCCTATCACACAAAAATCTATTAAACTTGAGTGATGAATAATGCATAGACTTTTACTAGAAATAATACAACAATAATGCATAGACTTTTACTAGAAATAATACAACAAGAGCGATAAAAATTAAACTTGTGATCACTAGATCATAAAAATTCTAATTTCATAAAAAGAATTATTTTAATTCAAAAATTAAAATTATTAAGTGAATGTTACATCAATAAATTTTATATTTTTTTAACATCTTATAAGGCGTACTTGTAAGCCCCAGTGAGCTAGTGATAAAGGAGATTGGCTAATATGCGTGGGTTGAAGGTTTAAATTTCATTATCAACATTGTATATAAAAAAAAAAAAAATTAAATGAAAAGAACAAACATTTAATATCTTAAAAATCTAAACAAAATTTAGGAAATAAATGCAAATAACGAAAGTGATAAGAGTGAAGGCAAAAGATAAGTTGACTACTATATGGAAGTTTCAGGCTCTTCATCTAAGACGCTGGGAAAGATTGATCACTATTTTGGAATTAAAGAGTTTTCTATCTGCAAACAAAGGTATACAAGCACCTTCTGCACCCCATTGCTCTTGAAACATGAATCTTCCATTCCATCACATACAAAAAGAGCCAACAAAACTGGTCTAATATATATATGGAATAACATTGTGCCTAGAGCATATTAAGCTTAAGTAGATATAAGGGGGCTGCGAAGACCGTCAGTGTTTGATGAGTAGTGAATTGGAACCAAAGCAGGGTCTTTATAAGCATTTACCAGATTGTCATAAAACTCATTCATTGTAGTATCATTCTGGTCTTCCCTATCCTTCTTTATCAAACTCTGCAAACACAAAACCAAGTCAAAATCATATATTTTGCATGCAACATGCAACAACTTTTCTGTTCTCTCAGAGAGAATTGTTGCCTTTTTTTTTTTATGTTAGCGGGTAGATATTGAAATAACATTTGAAGAATCAAGTTATAGTCACTTTCTGGATTTGAAATGTACCTCTGTAGGGTATGCAACAAATATGGGTAAGAATCTTTTTCGGCAGTACTCGTTAAACAGAAGCGTGAGGACTGGTAGAGGAAGCATCAATGTAGATGCTAGAGAAAGCTTTTTCAATGCAAAGATTCCCACTGCAATGATGTGCATGAGTACTAGAGAAAATATCATTGAACTGTGCACTATAGGCCAAAATTTCCCTGCAGTTTCATACTTTGGTGCATAGACATTTATAAACTGCATTATACATAGGCAGAGCATCAGTGCAGAAAATATTAAAAAAAAAAAAAGATTTTTAAGTGTCTCACATTTTCATGGATACAATTACTTTTAACATTGTCAGTTACCAGAATCAACCAAAACAAAATACAGCAACTTAACAAGCCGTTTCCCATACTTCTTGTTGCTCCTTATTCCCATGAATCACATTTCTCATGGAATTAGTATATTTAGAAGGAGCTCCATATACACTTAACCAGACCATATTGCATTCCTTTTTGTCCAAAACTTCAAGATGATCTTTCATATCCTGGCTGATCCTATAATTTTCTATTAGTTTATTTGGCAAGAATCTCTGAAACCACTGCTCAACTATTAACAACATAACCGATCCATAATTTCTTTGCAAAATTTTCTCCAAAACATAAAAAAGGCTTAATTTCATGGTAAGTCGTGAAAACCATATATCAACACTAGGACGCCCTCAATACTTTCCAGACATCTACCTAGTTTCATTATCTGAATAAAAAAAATTTCTTCAGCTACATCATGCAGACCATCCAAAGTTTAGGAAGTCTTGGTGAACAAATTTTCAATTATAGGAAAAATTAACCAACATGGGGATTTAGCTGTTAGGTGGAGACAGAGGAATGATTATATACTTCTAACATATGTAATATTCCCACTTTATTTGGTGCTTAAATTTAATTTAGTATAATTATAAAGAATGGGTGCAACAAGGATAGAACTTCTTATCATTTGGTTATAGAAGCTTTGGTACCATATTAAGGAATAATTTAACCCAGTAGCTTAAGCCAATAGGTGGAGGCCAATAAATGGTTCTATATCTTGAACACTTCTTCTTAAGTTGAAAACAATTTTTTTTTTTCAGGATTTCCAATATCATAATTCTCCCTTCTTTTTATTGGCAGAAGCAGGTAGAATATCATCCATAGCATAAAAGAAGCTCAGCAAATCAATAGATATCAAAATAACATCCAAAGAAATACTGACCTGGTTTCGAAAAATGATATATGCAAGACAAAAGTAGGCCAAGAGGAATGGCAAAATAAGTGGCGCTAGGAAGAAATATGTAATACCAAGAAGTCCAAAGAAAAGGACCCTTGGAATATCCCTGTGGTATGCAATAGATGGAACTTCTTCAAATTCATCATTTGGACTTGTGAAAGGCCTTCTTATCAAACTGGAAATGAAAGGAATTATACGGAAGAGTTCTGATGATATACTTGTCCATCCCGACGTGACCACATAAGTGATAAAAAATGATGCCTACAATCAAACCAAAATTAATTGCATCAAAATGATAGAAATAAAAAAATTAATATTATTATAAATTGGTATGAAGATTTTAGACTTGAATTGTGATCACATGACATGCTCAAAGTGATTGATAGTATGAATAATGATGTGTGCTCATATTTGTTACAGCTCCAATTTTCTGGGCAAGGAAAAGTTACAGCATAAGAAGAAAATGGAAGAAAAGATGAAAGAGTAAAAGGAAGAAATCGATTTTATTGATGTATTATAGAAGAACAAACAAGAGGAAAACCTCTTCTCAAGGGGCACTCCCCTTCCTCTGGGAAATTCTCAGCCGAACTATGAATTAATCAAAAGCTTCCTACTACAGTCAAAGTATCCCTTTTATACATCAAGCTGAACCTATCCTCTAAAGGCCTAACTGCCAAATACAGCCGTTACAACTAACATGGGCCCTAATTAATGCCCTTAACTACTCCCTAACATAGGCCGTAACGATATTAAGTTTTGGGAGGACATTTGGTTGGGGCATTTTTTTAGAGGTTTTTCCTTGCCTATTATATCTTTCTACTTTGCATAATCTGGCCGTTAATTACTTTTATTCTATTCAGGGTCATTCTTTAAACTGGGACTTTCATTTCGGTAGAGATTTGGTCTTACTTGATTCCCCTCGTCTCTCAGCCAAGCCTGATATCTGGAGGGTTCTTTTGCAAATTTTTCTTTTCAGTTTTTACCTCAAATTGTGTCTCCAAATAGTTTAACATTTCTTATGCTTCCTCAACAATGTCATTTATCATCTTTGGTGCCTAAAAAATCATTGATGCTTAAACTAATGCTATAAAAAAGATAGATGGAATGAGACATTTCTGAGTTGCTCCAAAAAAATTTAGCTGCTATTCAAGCTAGCCTTTAAAAATGAATATAGAACCTCATACCTTTCAATGTAAAGACTGCTTTATTATTTTTTTTCCTTTTGGGTAAATAACACCAAAGACTCCTGGATTTAATTCCTTATGGCAAGTTATAGAAAGTGTGGCAGTCACTTTAGCAAAGGTTAAGGAAAGTTTTATTGCTAATTATACTTTATATTGTTTGAAAATCATGATTAATGATGGTGATGTTTCTTTACATGAACGCTCAGACAAATAATATATGCAGAGATCAGATTAATTTATGGAACATAAAAATGGTTCAGTTCCACCCACATGGTTCAAGGCTAAACCATTATTCGTTTTAGTCCTCACTTCTCAAAAATGACTTGCATAGAAGTTTCAAAGAAATTTAAAATGGGGGAAAATGTTTTCTAACCTGCACCAGATTCTTTGTAGCCTAGAAAATAAAGTTCAAGGAAAAATTACAACGGAGAGGAACATTGTCTAACCTGCGCCGGAACTGCAACTGCCAGCTTCCCAGGAATGCCCTTGGGATCAAGGATGATTGACACCATATATAGAGCTGACCCAGAAAATACAGTTGCAAAAAAAGCATTCCATATTGTGAACCACAGTACTTTTATAGATGCACTCATTTCTATATCACTATGTGAGATGTATCCTTGAATGGAGGAAAGGAACTCCATGACAGGAGGCACCAATTTAAGAAACAACAGAAGAATAAGACTGGGAAGGTATCCCGTAATTACTTGACTGACAAACTTTCTGCAAGTTGATTCACAAAAGGCTCAGAGATTTTGCATTAACATAAAGCAGCATGTTGACAAAATTAGGAAGATATAACAGCATAAGTAACCAAAGGGATAGTTAGAATGAATTTGACTAGACAGGAAAAAAGAACATCAGATGCAGAGTTAAGACACAATATGCTGTGATTAGAACACCATAGCATCAAGAAATCACAACATCTAGTAAAGGTAGCAAAAAGTCTACAACATCTACACTGATCTTCAAGTTAATATCAACCTTTATCAATTGCAAAACCCATACTTTACATCTACAACCAATATGTACTGAAAAAAAAGGTTTGTCACACGATTCCTATGTATAGAGGCATTGTGCAAGCAATCTGATTGCAATACTCCTAAGTACAGATATTCATGAAACTTTTTTCTTTCAACCCATAAATGACTCCATAGTTCAGAGTATTGACCACCTAATTAGATATGTCAATTTGCTTTATGCTTTTAACTCAATTTTCGGTTTGCTCGCTTTATCCTTGTCGGAACTAACTGATATTCAATAATGAACTATACACGCAATCAAGGCAACATAAAATCTGCAATCACCAACTTGTGGCATAGTCAATGATTGAAAGTATTGACTTGAGAAACACTAAACGATCACTTTGACCTAATTATCATGCAACCTTGAAAGTTGTTCTTTTGAGCATAAACTCCAAAGAGCATGAGAACATGAGGGGAGGGGAAACAAGAGAAGCAAGATAGCATATAAGAGAGAGGGGTTAGGCATTAACATAAATAAATAGACCAAGTTCACTTACATGGTTAGAATACTTGTCAAGAAGGGAAACAAAACTTCCAGTTGACTCAGGTTGGTAAGCCCTTGTACGATTATTACAGGTATGAGGAACAAAATAGTGAAAAGAATACACAAAACCACAACCACCAACTTAAAAATCCATCTTTGCATGAATGATTCAGAGAAGAAAGGCCAGTAAACATCATGAGGTTCTGGAGCTTGCTCAGTAATCCACTGTGTGGGATTAATTGATTGGCGCAAATGGAAAGCAGTTGCAGCACCATAACGAGACTTGAAGAACACAAAGGCAGCTCGAGTCTCCTTGAATATTGAACAAGAATAAAGATTAATAGGATGCACTTTATACCAATAGAAACGAGAAAAAATGCAAATAGTTAAAACAAGACTGAAATTACTTTTAAAATATATTTCTTTTTGGAAATAGACCAGAAAGATTACTACATACTTCTGCTGCCAATGAAGACTCTGACTGCTTCAATCTTACATTCTCCTCAATATCCTCTAATTTCTTTTCATACTGCTCCATAAGATTGTTTTTTCCGCCAAAAAGTCCAAAAAAACCACCATGCTTATTCTTTTCCTGAGTGGGATCCGATCGTAATTGTGTAATCCTTTTATACAAAAATTTTGCTTCATTCTAGATTGAAGAAATGGAAAGACAAGGAAATGAGTTGCATAATTCTTAAAAATGAAATAGAAATATAATCTACCAAAGAACTTAATTTGATAAAAAAACATAGCATCCACCTTATACATATAATTGAAAAGAATCAAAATAGGTAACCATTAAAGCACTTAAAATTAATAAATGATGCTTGAGCAGCAAATAGGATAATAATAGATTAAAGATTTTGAGTATTTACAATTGCGTCAAGGAATTTTCCTTGAGGAACAATATTTCCTCATGGAATATCTCATTTATATTTTAGACCATCTTCAAAAGTGAACCTCAATTCACAACACTATGATGCTTAAACATTAGAAGTAATTGAGAAGGAAAGAAACAAGAAAATCAAAAAATAGTAACATTGGGTCATATATGCTTTAATCACTCCAATATGGAGAGAAAATAGGTAGATTGTTTAGCACACAATTCAGATCAATTAGCTCCAGCTTATTAGCCAGTCCAAAACATGTACAGTCAAAGGAACTATGCATGTCAATACTGCATATAGATTGAGAACGTGTGAAGAAACATGGTCATCTTCACTCTCTCATAACGTCGATAGTGCTGACTTAATCTTTTATGTAGTGTCAATACAAAAATCCAATCTGGACAATATCAGAAATATTTTAGCAGCTGCAAAATTATGAATTTTTAGTATGGGACTCATTTAGCACAAAAGCAAGCAGCTTTTAGGGTCGTAATCAAGTAAGAATTGAAGAAAAATTTGAGAGGTAATATGCATTAAAAGGCTTGTTAGCCTCCATACAAGGTAAGTTCTCATTAGCCCAACTTAAAATCTCAATCAATAACTTTTGTACTTTGCTAAATCTGATATATAAAGGCAAAGAACTACTGTTGCACGACAAACTAGCAACAAGTAAGCATAAGTTTAAAGTCCAAACGACCAGAAGATTCTTGTATATTTACCATTAACAGGCTGATTTTAGTATTAACTTCACAGATCCAAAAAGATTATAATTGTTTGGACTTACTACTTACTAGCATTATGAAGTTGTTGATTAATTGTTAATTTTATATTAAAATAATAAGGGTATTTTATAATTCTTATTTCCTGGTAATTTAGGTTTGATTTATGTTATTTGGTTGTTATAGAATATTTTAGTAATATCCATCTTTGTTCATGGGCAATACCAGAGACTTGCAGGGTAACAAAACTAACCTTTGTTTTCTAAGTGTGGTAAGTCATTTTCTACAAAGCTCCATGTGGTAGTCATTGAGACACTGCAACACGAATCCTCAAGTATATCAAAGGAGCACCAAGCAAGGGACTTCTCTATGAAGAGTGAAGACAAAGGCCATACTCAAGTCATTGAGTTTATGTTACAATCCAGTTGCGAGGTATGAGACTTGGAGTCCCACATCAGAAACATAAGGTTCTAGTGTGGGGTTTATATGGACTTTGGACTCTTCTACATTACAAGCTAACTTTTGGGGTAAGGCTCTCCCAAGGTTCAATGGACATTCCATTTCAGGATACTATGTTCTTAGGCTTCTTTGTTGACTATAAATGATATGTCTCAATGCTTAAATTTTGAAATTAAAAGCAATGCACAAAGCAACAAAATTCTGCACACCTTTAGAAGACTAAAAATTTCTTTCCAAGAATATGTAAAATATAGAGGACTAAATCAATTAACAAGAAAGGAAACTAATATTCAACACAATCCTTACTAGGAGTCTTTGGATTTTGCTAGTACGACGAACAACCATGTGTGACAGATACGTAGAAGGATATAGCTCTTCAAAGAAGCTCTCAACACTGTCACTGATGCTGCTACCGGAGGAAATGGGAATGCTGTGAACTAAAATGGTGAACTGATGAGGCTGAGGCCTTGATGAATAAAAATAAGAAATTCTTCTAGAAGATATGTGTTTATATTCCTGAAGATTAAAATAATATTGTGAAAAAGTAAGTACTTCAATTGTCTGCTCTTGCATAAGCTAAATTTACTTTTATACTTCAATTAATAAAGAAAATTAAAAAGTAAGGTAAACCCTTATCATCAAGCTCTGTAGAATTAAGAGGCAATTCTTATCCTGTTAATTAGTCTAGTATACCAGTAATAGACATAATAGATATTTATATATTACATATTCATCTTAAAACTTCATAATTAAGTCCGATGTAAAAAGCATAAAACTAAGGGGATTGCTAAAGTAGTTAGACAAAATATTTCCATATGCTAAGAGCATGTACTTACATAAAAAAGTAGTATGCATATGAATCCAGTGACAATATATACAGCACAGAAGTGGAGCCATAACCTGAAACAAAAATCATAAAGGATAACAATCTCAATACAGATTCTAATCCCATAATGAGCCAGGAACAAAAGATAAATGCTGAATGGAAAATCTCCACGGCCGAAGTAAATTCTCTAAGCACAGCTCAATTAGAACAATAAAATCTTGAGGTAGTATTCACCAGTTAGAGCCACTGTTTACATTTGATATGGTAAACACATCCAAGGAGTTATTGGTGAAGTTTGCAACATCAAAATCTTTTAGCTGATTTCCCCAGCAGTTGACTGGAAGAAGCACAAAGATACCAATAATCCCAGCAAAAGTAAATACTTTCAAACTGCATCCAAGAAATATAACAACTCAGTCTAAATAAGAGCTGTTTAATTAGCTGCTTCCTTTTTCTTTTTTCTTTTTTGTCTTGGAAAGGGTGGATATGAAAAGGGGTCATGCACAAACTCACAAAACCATGAAAGTCATGGTACTATCCCCTAATGAAGGGAAAGATATACCTAAAGGTTATAATGTGCATGAACACCACACCATCTAATCCTGATAATGATAACAGTTCCTCCTCAGAAAGCCTCCAGGCATTTGCAACCCAACCCGGAGAAGGTATTAGTCTTTCTAAGTTGAAACGACTTCTCCTCTTAGAAATTCCTTCAGCCAGAAGGCGCGGTAAATAAACTTCATAATTGATCGGTTGTTTCCTCAATATAGAATATAGTATGAAGAACAACACACACAGAGCAATATTGATGCCAACAGATGTCAGAAGAGCAGACACAATCATGTTTCCAAGGAAATCTCAGGAACCTGGAAAATTATGACTCAGCTGCTGCAAGTATCATAAGCAGTGGCCAAAACAGAATCAAAGATTTTTCAAATTTGAGATCATAATGAGCACAAAACACAATAAGACCTAGAACATGAACTTTGTAAATAAATAACTGTTCATGAGATTTTTTGTGATGATAAATTAAAACAAAATCCTAGGTTCAGTTTCCTGCATAAAATCACTAAGCAAATCAATTGAAGACAAACACGATGCTGCACAGACCCAAAGTCAAATACTCAGAAGAGGAAAAATGATTTTTTTTTTATTTAAAAAAAGTACAAACTCTTGAAATAGATATTGGCAAGCAGTGAATTGAAAAACCCAGATTCAGAAACTCCTAAATATTCACAATATGATTGCAACACTCACTCAAAACCCAAAGTTGAACTCAGTAAGAAGACCCAGCAGCTGAAAACAGAGAAAGAGAAGGTAAAGAGAACAAAACCGGTTCCTCGTGTGTATCTATCTATGTAAGTAGCTTTGAGAAGGAAGAGGAGATAAAACAGATTGTATGTATCTGTGTTAGAACATCAAGATTTTTGCCTAGTCAATACGACAATTACATCAAATCATGGTGGAGATGAAAATAAACTGAAAAATTCATGACAGTACTCAAGGATTACAATTTTTAATTCCAATTTATAATTAATAATATATAACAATACTCAACGGCGTAAAGAATTTTGAAATAGATAAACTAATTAAGTTTGATGGAGATGAAGATGCTTTCAAGTTTCAATATCAGGTTGGTAACTTTTTTATTTATTTGTTGATTTCAAAATTCATATTTTATTATTTTGGGGATTAAATAGAGTTGAAGGGTTGTTCTCACAGTCAAACGCCCAACCAATGGTTTCCAACTGTTGGTCACTGACAGTTAGCTGCTTCTGCTTCGGGCTTCCCAACGTGGGGATAAAATATAATTTTAGTGAACAAAATTCAATTTAAGAAAAATTTAAATAACATTATTTCGAATTTCGATTGCAAAGTCATCAAAATAAACAACATATAATATATTTCGTATATAGCAAGTATCTTTTAGAATATATACACGTGTAATTCATTGAGGCATCATAGATGAACCTTACTATTCTCATACCGATAGGTCTCTTTGGATCTGGTCAAAAAAAAAAGTCAGATAATGTGAAATTAATAATAATTATAGAGTTAAACGTAGATAATTATAGGACTTGCTTGTAAATTAATAAAACCTAGATAGAATACCAAACCGATTAACGTCTTGAAAAAAAAAATTCCTCCCCAAAAAACAACCACTTCATTGAGGGCATAATTGAAATATGCTTAATGATTTGTACGTTCTAAAATATTAAATGCTTTACTCTTTTTTATACTTAATACTGAGGTAGATTATACTTACAATGTAGCATGGCCCATGCGGCCAAAACGAGTTAGTCAGCTACCTAAAAGGTTCCAAGATTATTGGGCCTAGTTTTATATCATTGTTAGTTTATATTCAAGCCCTTAATATTTCCTTTGCATTGATGGTAATGTTAGAAGACTATAAGTAGTAGGTTCCCTTTTGAATAATGATATCAGAAAATTCCAAAATTCTCTCTCAATTCTCTCTATTCTTTCCCTCTTCTTTTTCCCTTCCTAATTCTAGAACTGACTCGCTACATTGGTGCCTTCATTGAGTTCATGCTACTCAAACGTTGATCATGGCTGAAACACGTTACAAAGATCTGCAAAATCAGTTGCACGAACTGCAACAACAACAGCTCCATATTCCAGATCTGATTAGAGAACAGATCCAAGGTCTGTGCGCTGATCTGCAATCTGAAGTGACGAATCTGGTTGAATCTGTCCGACTATCTTCTTCTGGTATTCTTGGATTTGGACCTGGTATAACTGCATCTTCCACTTCTGCTGCAACACAGCAACCTCGCGCACAACGGCCACGGCTAGCTTTTCCGCGATTTGCTTCAGGCGATCCCACAGATTGACTTTTTGCTGTGGATCGTTACTGTCTCTATCATGACATTCCAGATGGTGAACGATTGTTACTTGCTTCGTTTCACCTAGATTCTCCTGCTGCTCGTTGGTTTCAGGGGCTGAATCGAGATGGCCTTTGTACTTCATGGCGTGTTTTTACAGTTGCATTGCAGCAACATTTTGGACGTACAGATTTTGAAGATTCTGCTGGTATGTTAACCAAACTTACTCAGATTGGCACTGTAAATGACTATCAGGCCAGTTTTGAGGACCTTGCTAGTAAAGTTCCTGATATTACACCAGTACTTCTTAAGAGCATGTTTATTAGCAGACTGAAACCGCGAATTAGGCGTTCTGTATTGACCATGAGACCAGTAGATTTACATGGATCTTTTGCTTTAGCACGCTTATTTGAAGAACAATTTGCAGAGGAACGTTCTACTCGTCCCTGGGTGACAAAATCACCCTTACCTACAAACCTTCCCCCTCCTTCTACACTATTACCTCCTAAACCAAAACCTCCAGATCGCATACCTACCATTCCTATCAAGAAATTGACCCCTGCTAAAATGCAAGCTAGGAGAAACCAAAATCTCTGTTATAACTGTGATGAACGTTATACATTCGGTCACAAGTGCAAAGGCAAGGCAACACTATTATATTTAGCTGGTACTGAGGATGATGATATCAGAAACCCAGAACAACCCGAAATACCACTAACCCAACAAGATATACCCACCGAAATTACACCTGAAATTAGCCTAAATGCTATGTTTGGGCATCACTCCTCTCGTTCGTTTCGTTTGAAAGGTTCTATCCATGGGCAGAATGTACAGGTTCTAATTGATTCGGGGAGTACTCAGAGTTTTATCTCTGATCGTATGGCTTCACATTTGTCACTTACACTACATTCCATTTCTGCTTTTCACGTCCAGATTGGGAATGGTGATTCTATGCGTTGTCAGGCTGTTTGTACAGCAGTTCCTCTGCTCATGCAATCCCACTTATTTTCCATGGAATTATTCCTTTTGGACCTAAAAGGAGCAGATGTGGTATTGGGCATACAGTGGTTAGCCGCATTGGGTCCTGTGCTCACCGATTATGCATCTATGACTATGTTATTCCACCGCTCTAACGTTGCTATAGTTTTACAGGGTGACACATCCATTGCACCAAGTGCCATTACACCAGCTCAACTATCTAAGTTGGCTTCTCATGACGGTTTTACATTCTGCTTGATGTATCTAAGCTCCACCTCACCCTCTGAATCCCAACACGCCTCTACACCAAATTCATCCTTATCCAGCCATCCTATACCTACCGTGGCAGCATTACTATCCAGCTATTATGATGTTTTTGCTACACCCACTCATCTCCCTCCCGACAGAACCCACAACCATCATATTCATCTTCTACCCAATACTAAACCAGTCCAAGTCCGCCCCTATCGATATCCACACTTCCAGAAATCTGAAATTGAACGCCTGGTTCAAGAAATGCTTGCAAGTGGTGTAATTCGAACCAGTCACTCAGACTATAGTTCCCCTGTTTTGCTAGTTAAGAAGAAGGATGGCACGTGGATATTCTGTGTTGATTACCGTGCCCTTAATGTTGTCACTATTAAAGACAAATTTCCTATACCTACAGTGGATGAACTATTAGATGAGTTACATGGAGCAACAGTATTTTCTAAGTTAGATCTTCGCTCTGGCTACCATCAAATCAAGATGCATCCCGAGGACATTTATAAAACGGCCTTCAGAACTCACCATGGTCACTTTGAGTTCTTGGTTATGTCGTTTGGGCTTACCAATGCTCCCTCCTCCTTTCAGGCTACTGTGAATGAAATATTCACATCTCTTTTACGAAAATTTGTTGTGGTTTTTTTTGATGATATTTTAGTTTATAGTCCAACTTTGCAGGCCCATTTGCAACATCTTTCCCAAGTTCTGCAGATTCTTAGGACTCATACTCTATTTGTCAAGTCATCTAAATGCAGTTTTGTGCAACCTACTGTGGAATTTCTTGGCCATGTTATTTCCTCCAGAGGGGTTTCTCCTGATGATTCTAAGATACAAGCTATCAAGGAATGGCCCCTACCAACTAACCAGACACAACTACGGGCCTTTTTGGGGCTTTCAGGTTACTACAGACATTTTATTAAGGGGTATGCTACCATTGTTGGACCATTAACTGATTTACTTACTCGTGATGGGTTTGTTTGGTCTCCAAAGGCTGATCTTTCTTTCCAGCAACTCAAGGAGTCACTTACTACAACTCCTACCTTAGCCCTACCTGATTTTACAGCACCATTCGTTATTGAAACCGATGCTTCAGGAATTGGCATTGGTGCTGTTTTGCTCCAAGCCGAGCACCATATAGCCTTCTTTAGTCGCAAGCTCTCTCCTCTCATGCAAGGTAAATCTACTTATATTCGCGAGTTATTTGCAATTACGGCTGCGGTAGCTAAGTGGAGACAATATTTACTTGGTGCAAAATTTGTCATTCGTACTAATCACCAGAGTCTTCATTGCCTTATGACTCAAGTGATTCAAACCCCAGAACAACAGCAGTTCCTGGCCAAGTTACTGGGTTATGATTATTGTATTACTTATAAGCCTGGTAAATTAAATCGTGTCGCGGATGCATTGTCGCGATTACCTGCAGAGAGCTCTTCGGATAACTCTCCCCAATTTCAGGCTCTTACGAGCCCCATTTCTAACTACAACACCAAATTACAGACAGAATTACAAGCAGACACCTATGCTATGGGGGTTATTAGGGGATTACAGTCATCCATAAATCAATGGCCGCAATGGCAATATAAAAATGGTCTACTCTATCACCATGGCCGTCTGTTTCTGCCAGCAGCTTCCACCTTGATACCCCAGCTTCTCTCTGAGTACCATTCCTCAGCCTTGGGTGGTCATGTGGGTGTACATCGTACATTGGTCCGATTGTGTGCCAATTTTACCTGGAGAAAAGTAAGGACAGATGTTAGAAATTTTGTTAAAAATTGTGAAGTCTGTCAAAAGATCAAAGCAACCAACCATGCGCCTTATGGACTACTACATCCACTACCAACACCAGAATCTATTTGGTCCGACTTTACGATGGATTTTATTACTCAGTTACCCCCATCTAACGGACACACAACCATTTTTGTGGTAACTGACAGATTGACTAAGGGAGCTCATTTTGCCCCTTTACCATCACGATACACAACAACTAAGGTTGCTCTGGTTTTTTGGGACACAGTGGGCAAACTACATGGTACTCCTAGATCTATAGTCTCAGACAGAGATCCACTCTTTCTGAGTGAGTTCTGGACTACCCTCTTCAGACTACAAGGGACTACTCTTAATTTTTCCTCTGTTTATCACCCCTAAAGCGATGGACAGACCGAAAGAACAAACCGAGTTTTAGAGCAGTACCTTCGCGCCTATGTGTATGATCAACCGTCCACTTGGGCGAGATATCTGAGATGTGCCGAATATCACTTCAACACCGCATTTAACAGATCGCTGGGCACGTCTCCGTTTACAGCCACATATGGACGTTCTCCGCCGTGTGTGTTGCAGTACTCTTTTGGATCCAGTGCACTCGAAGCTGTGGACTCGGATCTTCGCACTCGAGCACAGATTCTCGCGGATTTAAAAGAGAACTTAAAAAAAGCACGAAACTTCATAAAAAATTATGCTGATCAAAAGAGAAAAGACATCACCTTTGAGATTGGTGACTTAGTTTTGCTTCGACTCCGTCCGTATAGACAACTCTCAGTCCACCGGCGATCTTCTGCAAAACTGGGGCTGAAGTTCTATGGACCGTTCGAAGTTTTAGCAAAGATAGGCGCGGTTGCTTATAGATTGAAACTCCCAGATGGTTCCCGTGTGCACCTCGTGTTCCATCTGTCGTTGTTAAAGCCTTTCTTCTCAGACCGGCAGTATGTCATTCACCCTCTGCCGGAAAGCACGGAGAAGACGCCACCAACACATACTCCAGTGGCCATTGTTGCGTCCAGAAAAGTGTGGAGACGCGGCAAAGAGGTTGAGCAGGTCTTAGTCCAGTGGTCGGACTTACCACCGGAATGCTCATCGTGGGAGAGTGCTGAGGAAGTTGAAATTTTGAGGAAGCAGAAGGGTGTTTTGGGAGAGCACCGAAATGAAACTCAGACACATGAGTCCTCTGCAGAGTTAGCTCACATCCTTCCACCCACTAGTATACAAAACCCATCTAGCCACTCAATCAAACCCACCACCAGCTTAGCCAATCGTACACCACTTGTGCGATTTCCCACCAATCAAAGTCACCCAAATATTTTCTCATCTAACCAAACCCCTGCTTTTCCATTCAAGCCTCTGCCCACACCATTAAAACCCTTGTCCCCACCATCCAATCAAGTTCCTGCGCATGGATTTTCGGCCAATGAGAATAGCCCGCCTCTTATCTCTTCCTAACCACTATCACAGGCTCCATTTACTACACTGACGCCACCCCATGTGCCATTAAATGCTATGCCACCTCACCAACCTTTACTCCCAATTCAACCGTTACATACACCCTTAGACCCTGGTGATCATCAGCATGTGGGCTTGGTTCCAGTGGGCCTTGAGGACAAGGCCAAACTTGATGAGGGGAATAATGTAGCGCGGCCCATGCGGCCCAAACGAGTTAGTCAGCTACCTAAGAGGTTCCAAGATTATTGGGCCTAGTTTTATATCATTGTTAGTTTATATTCAAGCCCTTAATATTTCCTTTGCATTGATGGTAATGTTAGAAGACTATAAGTAGTAGGTTCCCTTTTGAATAATGATATCAGAAAATTCCAAAATTCTCTCTCAATTCTCTCTATTCTTTCCCTCTTCTTTTTCCCTTCCTAATTCTAGAACTGACTCGCTACATACAATCTTTTTTTTTTACAATCTCTTACAACCATATCTTAACACTGTTAATTTCTATCAATTAACGGTTATGATTTTTGCAAATTAAACTCATTAATTAATTATTAATTCACAATAAATGATAACCGTTGATTGACAAAAATCAATGGTCTTAAGATATAATTGTAAGAGGTTGTAAAAAAAAAGTTGTAAGTATAACATTCCTCCTTAATACTTACTCTATTAAGTATTACGAAAATTAGGATATAGTACATATTATTCTCCATAGTTTAAGCCTTTTGTACTTTTTAATATAATAGATTTGATTTGTGACCCTCGCCGTAAGATATTAGCAGGGTAGCATTTTGAGACTTTTAAAAATAAAATAAAAAATTGTGCACTTAATACAATTAATTATACAATAAATGTAATTTATAAATGGGATTATACTTTCTCGTGTTGTTGGAGATATTCTACTATAAAAACATGATGTGATAGGATCTATCACCTATTAAAAAATAAAAAAGTGATGGTACAACTTTTAATGTGAGAAAAATATGAGATAACTCTCATGTAAAATGAGATCATAATTTTCCTTTATAAATATATCTAGCATTATTCTTCTAAATTTTACAAAATAAGTGAATTTGATTTGATTCTCCAGTCTTGTGGTATACTTGATAGTTTAAAAAAACTTGACTATTGACTTGTGCATGGACCTCCCTTTGATAATTATGTCTTGATTTTAATTTTAATTATGGGAATTAATATTGCTCTTGTAAGATGAAAATAATTTTATCTCATGCACTCACACAAAAGTGAATGAGCCTTGTAAGGCTATAAAGAGAGAAGAGAGAGAAAATAAAAGTGGATCTCATTTACTTTTACGTGAGTACAAGAGATAAAGTTATTTTCATATTACAAGAGAAATGTTATTCCCGTGATCATGTAATGAAAGTTCCGCACTACATATTTTAACATTTATAAATATTTAGTAGAAATGACAAAGTAGATAACTCATCTCGTCTTGCCTCCAACCCATTTCAAAATAAGTTAATTTGTCACAAAGTAGGTTAAAAATCTCAATCCATATCATTCCTCCCTACCAACCAGCCTATATGTCAAAAATATAAAATAATTTTGAAAGCTTATGGTATCCAAAAAAAAGTAAAGGATTGGATCTCAAATAAATATCAAAGAGATGCAAAAGGTTTAGTGACTAAAGTTTTATTAAAAAATGAATAACATGTTTGCAGCGAATTCAACCTGTTTTGACTAACACTTATATAAGGCGGGTTTAAATACGTTGGTGAGGTAAAAAAATTGTTGAAACTTTCGCAGAAACAAGCAATGCACAATCGTCAGCGATAGTCAAGCTTTAACCTACTAGCTAGAAGTAAGAAATGAAAACTTGTAAGTTACATTTTCCTTTTTTGATTGTTTAACGTGAGGGAGTCACTCAGTGCCTATTTACAAAAACATACATATTTAGAGTTCAAGACATATATTTTGTAATTATGCATTATAGACATAGTTATTATAGGAGAATTGTGCAACATATTTAGCTTTATTTTTCATAATCACAGAAATTGCTAGATCAATTCAAGCATATCTTTTCATTCTAGTTGTCAAGTTCGTATTCTATTCCTTACAAATAGTTCAGTTATCAATTTGAAATGTTACGAAATGATAATAATTCAGATACAAAATATTACTTTCATTATAAATCATTCCTCTAACAGAATGTCAATATTGTCTTAAAAGATAACCTCCAAATACATATTGAATGGAGATCGGGTCTCTTGCATAAAGCTCTTTATTTTTTGACTAATTGCAATAAAGCATTCTCTAAAATAGATATAGGTCTTTATTGCATTTGCATACTGTTGTTACTATAGTTGCTGCTTGTAAGAGAGGCTAGGATGATTCCTCTAATCTATGGTGTAGGCATTTTCTGAGTAGTCCCTTAAACCTCTTCCACGTTTCATATAGTGACTCATTGTCCTTCTGAGTATAACAAGACATATCAACCTTAAACTTAGCCCGCTTGGACGATGGAGTCGACAAATCATCCCAAGTAGTAATGCTCCCCGAAGGTATTGCTTGTAACTAGCTCCTAGCTATCTTTCAATGAAAATGGAAATAGACTAAGTAAAATAGCATCTCTTGGAACGTCATTCATCTTCAAAGTGTCCCATAAAAGCAAAAATTCTCTAGATGAAGGTGAGGATCCTCTGTGCCTCCTCCATAAAATTGCTCACCTTGGATCGGTTGCAGTAGTGATGGCTTGATCTCAAAATTGTTTGTGTCCGCTAGAGGCCTCATAATACTTGCAGTAGGTTAAACTCTAAATGGAGTCATGTAGTCTTCTAGCGTCCTCCTCAGAGGCGACGATGGTGGATATTCTCTTCCAGCCATGGATTTTTCCTCCAATATTGTAGAACATAACACTTCTTGTTGCCTTCTTTCCCTTGCAAGCTTTCTGTTTCTTTTGCGATTTTCTTTATCTCTGGATCGAATTGCAGAGACTCGATGTCAACAGTATCTTGCATAAACCAGGAAATAGAATAATTAAATAAAAAATAAATCAAAATATCAAAAATAAAATTAAATAACATAAAATATAGGTCCAATCTAAAGTGTCTATAACTACTATTAATGTTGAAATAAACTAATCCCCAGCAACGGTGGCCAAAACTTGTTGCGGACTCGCCAATTGCACAAGTTGTACAAGTAATAAAGTGTATGAGTAAGAGTATCGTTCCTACAAGTAATTTTCTATTTATGCTTAAGTTGGACAATTGAACAAGAGAATTGTATAAAAACTAAACTAAATAACAAAGGAAGAAAGCAAAAATCGAGTTACTTAACAATCAAGAAACGTAGCTGGGGTTTTGATTTCCCCAATGTCCCATTTATGTTATGAATTAAAACCCTTAATTAAATGTCCTTTTCATATCGCTAATCGACTCACCTAAGTTAATTAAGACTCAATATGTTGACATCTTAATTCTTTACTCTTTTTAAACAATCATAATTCCCCGGTTGTTCTTCAAAGAAAATAAGATTTAAATCCAATAATCATAAAGATTGCATAACCCTTATGTCTATCCCTACAATCATAAGAATTAACGACGAATTTACCACACATTGTTCATGTACCAACATCCCTATTGTCATACACTTACCCTAAATCAATCTATAAGATCAAACACATAGAAGGCATGAAGAAAAGAAAACTTCATTCAATAAAAAAAGGAAATTTAACATTAAAGATTATTCATAACATAAAGAATTGATTGGACTAGCCCTAACTACAAAGAAAACTAGCCTGACATAGTAGAAATAAGAACATAAGAAAACATAAAAGCTTCCCAAACTCCATTGGTGTGATGGCGCGGTGAATCTTTAAGGTTTCCATTGTAATCTTACCTCTAGCTTGTCTCTAACTCCCAAAAGCATGAATGACGCGCTTCTACAATATAAATTATGCCTCTGGTGTCAAGTGATATCAAGAAGTCATGTAGAATAGCTTAAATAGGTGTAGGAATCCTTATTTTAGGTGAAAACCACGTAATGGGCCTTAATTGGGTCGCAACCAAGCATTAAAACGCGTTGGAACACGTTAATGTTGTGGTGTGACTTAGGGAAGTGCTCGAGCCGATTTCTAGCGAGGTTAAGATAAGAGATTAGGAATGGAGAAGATATTAAACTCTGGCCTGATAACTAGATGGGGTTGGAAAAACCTCTCAGAGAATTCACAGAGATCCAAGTACCACTAGAGGAGGTTCGTATAACCATAACGGAGTGTGCAGTCCAAGGTGCATAGAACGTTGCTTACTTACAAAGATTTTTGAATAACGATTAGGTTATAAAGGTGATGAGCAATAACCATACTTCATCATCCCTAGTTAAAGTTGTGTGTAGAAACATAATGAAGTTCTCGTACACCCAACTTAACACAATCTGGAAGAAAGTGTGGGCTTGGGTGATGTAGGTGACTGTACTAGGCAACTTACCTGTTTGAAGTAATACTAGTAAATGGGGTGGTGGCCAAACGTATCTCAGAGCCGCCCCTACCAAGAAGAAACTATCATTCATGTTTTGCGAGATTGTAAGCATGCTCAAGCTATATGACACGAGTGGTTTATAGGACATGTGGCCCACACTTTTCATAGTCTGGGGGTAAATGATTGGCTAAAGAAAAATATGGAAGGATCATGGGGCTTTAATTGATCTTCCGACTTAAGGGATATATTCTTATCCACTTGTTGGTTTTTGTGGATATGGAAAAATCAGCAAGTCCATAATATGAGTTTCCGTATAAAGGTAAAATGATGATCTCAGACTTTATGTTGCAAAATAGAAGAGCCAAGGACAAAGGTAGTCGTGAGGCCAACAATGGAAATAAAGATCAGATACAATGTCATTGGACTCCACCTGAATATAGCCGGTCTAAGCTTAATGTAGATGGGAACTCTTCTAGCACAACAAAGCAGGCTAGCTGCGGGGGACTTTTAAGGGACCACAATGGCGCATTTATAGGTGGTTTTAGTCTTAATGTTGGCTTTTGCAACCCTCAAGATGCAGAGCTATGTGGCATTTTAAAGGAGATGGATATGGCTTAGAGAACGAGGATAAAGAATTTGGAGGTTGAATGTGATTCAACTAATGCCAATGCATTAGTGCAAGAGAGGCAGGAGGACCATAGGGACTCTAGGGTAGTAACACAGATTCAAAAATGGCTGGCAGAGGATTGGACGGTTTGTTAAAGCAACTCTTGTGCCCACTGGTTAGTAGGGGTGTCAATATAGGTTATGACATGTGGGTCGACCCGCGACACGACACGAAAATTCGTGTTCGGGTTGACCCGTAAAAAAATTCGTGTCATGTTCGTGTTGAAAAAAATGACACGTAAAAAATTCATGTCGTATTCGTGTTGAGGTATTCGTGTTTGTGTTGAGCCATATTTTTTTTAATTATTTTATTTTTATTTTATTTTTTAAATTTTAAATTTTAATTTTTTTTTAAATTTTGAACCATTTTTTTAAAATTTTGTTGTCAATTACCGTTTTGACCCCTATTTTGCGTGTTATTCGTGTCGTGTCAATACGCAAAAAATTCGTGTCGTGTCAGTGTTGAAGATTTTGACACAAACAAAAATTTGTGTCGTGTTCGTGTTGATGTATTCGTGTCGTGTCAAATTCGTGTCGTATCAACCCATTTTGACACCCCTACTGGTTAGCAAAGAATCATCACAAGAATCATAACATGGCTCATGTTTACCACAACCCTCCCCCGCATCTGCTGGAATTGTTGTCAAAAGATGTGTTTTGTCTGTTGTTAGCATAGCAATGTAATTTTGTTTCCAAGGAGCTTGGCCTCTCCCTATTACACACACACACACACACATATATATATATATATATATATATATAGAGAGAGAGAGAGAGAAAGAGAGAGATGTAGGATCCTTTGACACCAGTGTCAAATTTGAAGTTTGACACCTCATCCTAGAGTCGATAGATCAAAAAAGATTAACGGTGCCACATGCTTACAAATTAGAGTCATTGATCTTTTCTGATCTAACTGCTCTCATATGAGGTGTCAAACTTTAAATTTGACACCGGTGTCAAAGGATCCTGACCCATATATATATATATATATATATATATATATATATATATATATATATATATATATGGGTCATAATCATTTTACACCAGTGTAAGTTACACTCTCAATCTTATCCGTTTATCCCACTTATATCTAAAGGCTGTAATTATTTAGTAATGTGAGCCATTGAATACAAGTGGATCAATTATCAAGATTGAGTGTAAGACTTCTAACTCTTACACCAGTGTAAGAATATCCTGTCTCTATATATATATATATATATATATATATATATGGTCCAAAGGTTGACCTTAATTGAGGGTGACAATTCGGGTTGACATCACAGAACACAAATATAAATATACTTAACATGAATATGTCATTAATTTAAAATCGGATGAAAATGTTCGACACGAATACGACACGCTTATTTTGTGGGTTGACACGACATGCCACAAATAACATGTAACCTCAAAGGGTCGCTTATTATGCGATTTGACATGACACAAAATAACACAAATAATTTGTCAATCTCAAAGTGTGTTGCTAATTATGCGGGTTGACAAGACACGATAAAACATGAATAATCTATTTACGACTTGACACGAAACGACACAAATAACCTGTAAGAATATTAAAACAATTCAATTTAAGGTTCGTGGGTTGACTTGTGACATGATACAAATTTTTCATGTCAATTGTTGCCAACACAAACACGATAAGAATTTGAAAACGGGTTGATCGAACATGACTTTTTCATGTCATGCGGATTGTGTTGAAAATTATCACCCTAACCTTGACCATTAGATATTAATACATAATATTTTTTAATGATTTTTTTTTGAATTTGTGAATGTAATATAATTATTTATACAAAAAATTTAATTTATAAATTACTTGTATTTAATAACTATCGAAACTGTTACAAAATTAATTTCACCTAAACAACTTATTTTTTTTTTATAAAATAAAGGAAATTTGTGTTAGACAAGTGGCTTCAAAACTTAAGAGGGAGGTGAATTGAGTTTTATAAAAAAAATTCGCAAAATGCCTTCTTTGATATTTTGAAAATTTATTCAATGAATTGATTTAACACAAATAGTTCTAGGTGAGGATGCTAGTGTATGAACAATATATAAGCAATTAAACAAGCAAATACAATCAAGTAAAGTAATTTAGAAATAAATTAAGGAGATGAAGGTTAGAGGAATTATAAACAAAATGTATCCTGGTTCGGTCACCACCATTTATGACCCACATCCAAACTAAAGCCGCTCGATCAATTTTCCACTAATGGTCAAGCTTCAAGGGTGCTTGATAAACCGCTACAATCTTCCAAGATTTTGGGCTCTTGGATGCCTTTAGACTTCGCTCAAAATTTTCTTAGAAATTTGGTAACCTCTCAAGTACAAGGGGTTCAGTCTCCTCTCAATTCAAGAATACAAGAGAAAATGTTTAACAATGGCTAAGTACTTTTAAAGTACATATTACACAAGTGAAAGAACTATGAGTGTTGACACTTTCACAAGAACAAAGCTCAAGAGTGTATATGATTAAGATGAATGAGAATGAGCAAATAATGTGTTTCAAATCAAGAATAATGATCAAGAAGTGTTAAGAGTTCAATATAACAGTGATTCCTTGTATTTAAAAGCATAATAAATGAGTATATTCAGCCATTTTTCGAGAACTAGCCATTAAGAGCTGTTATTTTTGTCTTTTGCTGCAATGGATAATCGATTATCTTAAAGGGGTAATCGGTTACCTCAAAAGGTAATTAAAAGGTTGGAAATTCATCAGAAAATAGTTTTCTTTATTTCAAGTGTATTTTAATCACTTTCAATCATTTGATAAACATTTGAAAACATAAAGAATTGGTTTTTGATTGTGAAAGGATGAATAGCTTGTGTGCGCTCTAATAAACATATTTTTTTGAGTATAATACTATACAATTGCTTCTCGATGTTTTTTTTTCCCGACAAACTGACTATTTTTTTTTCTCCATGCATCGCACGTGTCATGTACTAGTTTGATAAACATTTGAAAACATATTTTCATGAATGTGAGATACTAGGAATGATTCTCAATATCAAATGATGATTTAATGCATGAGTTTTGAAAAATACTTTGAGCTTTTTCATGCAAGTTGTCAATCACCCTTGCATTTAATTCTAAGTCCTAAAATATATATTACTCGTGGACTCTTTAGACTTAGGGCCTGTTTGGAGCACCTGATAAAGAAGATAGGATATGATAACTTATCATATCCTACTTTTATCTCTTGTTTGGTGGGTCAATAGGATATGATTAGCTTATCCTATTGACTAATTTTATCCTATCCAATACATGGTTTCTTATTCTATGGGAGGAGCTGGGTTAGGATTCAATAGGATATGATACCAATATTGAATACCCAATATATCCTCACGCTACCCAATATATTCCCACGTTACCCAATATATTTGTATTTATTGCATTATATTTTATTTTTTCTTTCTTCTTCTACATAATCTTATCAGATTGCTAATCAGGTGCTCATCAAACACAAAACATGATATAAGCTTATCATCCTCATATCATATCTTATCCTTATCAGCCTCATATCATATCCTACCAATATCTTATCCTGTCCACCAAACGAGCCCTTAGATTCTTCTCTTGAAACTTGAGTTTTGATCTTCTTTAAGCTTTGTCCATTGTCTTAATGAACTTCACATTGGTTGGTTAATTCTTTAGACTTCTTTTTGATTGTTGCAAATTGTAATACTTGAAGTTTTCTTTCCATACTTGTTTGTTATGATTAAAATCCTTATATCTTTAGATTTTTCATTTTGAATGCATTGATTTCACAATTTAAAGAGCTATGTATACAAGTAGTGAATGCATGTAAACTGATGTTTTGCCACGTAAAAGCTTAACTTCTTTTTTGTTTTTTTAGAAACTTGACATTTTTTTTGGGTAACAAACTCGACATCTTTATTAATTATTAACAATGAAAATGTTTTCCGGAAGAACATATACAAACTTTCAATTCATCCACGTTTTAAAGAATTATATTTTCTTGCATATAACGTGTGTGATAATTTTTATTTTTTTTTGGTAAACCGTCTGTGATAAAATTATAATGTAAATATGTAAAAAAATATGTAACTTTAATTGTAATTAAATGGTAAAATAATATAAATATGAAATAATAGGGTTACTTCAGTACTATAATTATATGAACTATCTGTATGAGTTTATAATTTTAAAAATAGCCATTGTGATTTCCCCCCCATGAATTTGTAACTACTTGTATCAATTTGTAATTTTTTAATTAACTTTATTATAAAAGAGAGGAAAATTATAAAATTCCTATTTAAAATTATGTACTCATGAAAAACTATCAAATTTATATTAAAGTATACAAATTTAAAAAGTTAGTTCCAAAGTGAACTCTAAAAATAACAAGAATAACAGCATGTTTGGCCTATTTTTTTAATTAAAAATCACTATTAAGTTAAAATTAAAGAAAAGAATTTAAAAAAAATTAAAAGCTATTTGGTAATTATATAAAACTGTTGTTAGGATTTTAAAGGGAAGAATGAAATATGATTTGTCATTATAATAAATCATTATGCTAAAGGATAAAATTTATAAATATAAATTTATAATAAGAGTAAAATAAATAGGGGGACTCCAAAAATCTGCCATATATCTTAAAAAAAGTTACTCGACTTTTAATAATTTTCTTTTTTTTTGTTCGTTATAAAAAAATTTATAATAAAAGTTTTTATAGAATTATATTTGATTGCTTTTTAGAAAAGAAAAATTAAAAAATAATTGTGTCAAATTGTCTCTAGTTGGATCCACATTATTCTTCTAAATTAAGCAAAATGAGGTGAATTTGATTAGACTCTCCACCTTTCTAATAATCAGTAGTAAAAAAAAAAATTTGACTGTTGACTTTTATAAACTAAGGTCAACAGAAACCGGCAACCGCTAACTTAACAGACAACATCCAAAGTGTCCGAACCGCACGCGAACATTCCCTGCTTTTTATGAAATTACAGTTCATCCAGTGCAAGAGGAAACTTGCGCTATGATTTTCACTGTTCCTGAAGAGTAGAAGAATCGTTAACCAACAACAACAGACCCAAAAACTCAAGCTTGTTTAGATCTCTCTCACCATTCGATCCAAGGTAAGGTAAAATCAAGCACCCATGACCTTACACTATTGGGTTTCTATTATTTCTGATTCCCTATTCCCAATTTCTTCTCTTTTCTGAAAAAGGGTGTTCACCAAATACTCACCATGAGCGAGGTCTTCGAAGGTTACGAGCGCCAGTACTGCGAGCTCTCTGCTAATCTCTCCCGCAAATGCAGTTCCGCGTCTCTTGTTTCTGACCAAGGTACCTTAAAAATCGAAACTTTGTTGTCTTTTGACCCAGTTCCAGAGGACCCTTTTTCGTTTTGCACCTGTTCCTTGTCGTTTACCTGTTTTTCTGTGTTGTTCTTTGATGTCTTCTGCTGCCCTTATGTGTTTTTTCGCCTTTGCTGCTGTAGCTTCATTGCTCTGATTGATTCTGAAGACATCATAGTTTGTCTATTGGGAAGTGGAACTGCTTAGATTGGCTGATTGCTTTACTCTTCTTCCAAATTGTCTATTAGATGGTGTTGAATTGACTATGAGCAAGATAATAGGGATTATTGTCCAAAATTTGTTGTACTAGAAATTCTTTGAATGACAAGAGGTGGCCAAAACAAGTGAAAATCATAATTGTGTTATTAAATAATGTCGTGCTATAGCTATATGATTTGATGAAGTATCCTATATCAACAGTTATTGATCAGTTGAGTTAATTATATAACTGGGACTAGGCAAGTTCTTGGACTTGAGTGAAGTTTGCTGGTTGCTGCAGTGCAATCGGATTATCCCTAGTGACATCTATTTGGTCATATGTTCCCTTTGTTAATAATATTTACTCATTAGAAATGAATTCTTAAACAAATTTTCCTGTGAAGCTGGAGGATTTAATTTACTGCGCTGGGTGTCTAATGTTTTCTTGTGCATGCTTCTGTGACATAAAGATGTATTTTGGCTTATCATTTACTTTCACGTTAAATCCTGGTTGCTGAATTTTATTTAATCAACACTAATTTCAGAACAGAAGCAGCAAAAGTTTTCTGAGATCAAAGCTGGACTAGATGACGCTGATGTTCTGGTACAAAGTTGAAATATTTGCTTACATCCCCAGGCTTTATTTTTATGGGTATTATCTTTTATCTGTTTTTGATTCCCCGTCTCTCTCTTTCTCTCTCTTCAGATTCGGAAGATGGACCTTGAGGCAAGAAGTTTGCAGCCAAGTGTAAAAGCAATGCTTCTTGCAAAGTTGAGGGAATACAAATCCGATCTAAACATGTTGAAAAAGGAATTTAAACGGTTAACATCACCTACTGCTGATCAGGCTGCCCGTGAAGATTTGTTGGAGGCTGGAATGGCAGATGCACATTTGGTATATCTGGAACTCTGGATTGTTTTACTTGATAGCAAATTTATCTGAAAAACAAAAGAAGGAAGCTTGTGACTTTCTTGGTTAGAGAGCTCTAAATTTGGGGGGGGGGGGGGGGGGGGGGGGGGGGGGGGGGAGTTCTGTTTCTAGTTCTTATTATTTTCCTTTTTGTTTGCTTGTGATAATATCAAATACTATTTATTCACTTCTGTATCTCCTTTTTGGGATCATGAATGAATATGTCTTGACCTGTTAACCAAGTAACTACCATTAAGGCTCTTCAGAAAGTGATCTTTTAATTGACTGAATCTGAATGTTATTTTAGTTACCACACTAATATTCATCATTAGTTTTTTACTGTTTTTTCACAGTTCTATTACTCTCTTTTTTTGTACATCATATTAGGGTATTTAGTGTTGATATCTTTAGCCTTTTTTAATTCTGAATTCCGTTGTAGAATGTATGGTTCTAGTTCCTAGAGACCATTAAAGTTTGAAGAAATATTTGTGACTGAATGTGGGTTCGATATCAGCAACTGCACCCAGTTCATATAGAGGCTATGTTATTGCAGGTGTATTTATTGTAAGATGTTTGTGTTTTGCATCCATTTTGCAGCCTGAGTTGCGATTATTATTGTTATTAAGCATGGCATACGTATTTGATCACTTACGTCATAGAGCATTATGACTGGGATGGGAATGAGACTGATAGTTTCGTGCAAATAAGGTTGCAAATGTTTTGCACATGCATCCCTTAGGATCTGTTTGGCTTATCCCCATATTTTGTTTTCTGAATTTTGAAATTAGTAGGTTTTTTAAGTTGGTTGAACTTGTAAGGCAAGAAATGCAGTAGATCTGACGTTGTAATCTATTATTTGGTGGGGGGAAATGGATAATATTGCAGGCATCTGCTGATCAGAGAGAAAGATTAACTATGTCAGTAGAGAGAATCAATGATTCGAGTGAGAGACTTAGGGAGAGCCGAAGAACAATGTTGGAGACTGAAGAAATTGGTGTCTCAATACTTCAAGATTTACACCAGCAGCGTGAGACTCTCCTGAACTCCCATAAGAAGGTATGTTCATATGTGAATGCTGTTTTTTTGAATGGTGTTCTGTTTATGTCAACTTTAGATAGTTTTAGTCCTCTTTTAATTTACTAGGAAAGAATCATGAGATGATCTTATTCTCTAAGGAGAAGTATTAAAATCAATCATGATATGCTTCCTCGGAGAATAAGATTGCAAGTGCAATGTAGAAGCCGTGGTGATTGTTGGTTGATGGTCATTTTTTTCTATGACTTGCAGCTTCATGGGGTAGATGATGCTATCGACAAGAGTAAGAAGGTTTTAACGAGCATGTCACGAAGAATAACTAGAAACAAATGGATCGTTGCATCTCTGATTGGAGCTCTTGTTCTTGCTATAGTTGTTATTCTATTTTACAAGCTATCTCATTAACTAATAATAATATGCACAAGATACGACAGGGTGCAAGCTATCTTTTATGCTTGTATGTGCTTCGTTGTATATAGGAGCCATTTGTGATGCTTTTCAGTGATATCTTGCTGTTTATGCTTTTTTTTTTTTTTTTTTTTTTCGAACTGAAAGAGCGTGTACTTGATTCAAGTATTTTGTTGATGTATACTCATTTTATGACAAGATGCTTTGCAAGCATTTTTTATGAATTCCAAATCCTTTGTGCTAATGCTGTATGCTAGCGCCTTGCTCATTGTCATAGCTTCGGTTTGAAGCGCTAAAGACTCCCCCCCCCGGCACTGCACTCAGGGGAAGGGAAAGAAAAAAGAAAAAAGAAACACTTTTGATTGTTGAACTGTTCAGTATCGTCTCAGAAAATCCGAGAAACATGGATACGGGACACGAAGAAATTAGTTGTTTCTACATATGTTCTGAAATGAAAACGTGTCCAACACAAGGCTTTTGACGTGTAAGACACATAACAGCCAATTTCTTGAAGTGTTTGTTTCATGACTGAAATTTACGGCAGAGGAGTTATTAGGAAATCACGATTTCCCAGGGATATGATAATAAGATAAATTTTTAAAAAATGTTACTAAAAAATTGTTTGATAGACTAAAATATTTCTGAAAATATTTGATTAATTTTCATGATACTATGTTTAGTTATATTAAATTTTTTCTTGTCATAGAAATCTTAGAATACCACTCCCTGGATGGTATTTTAAAAAAAAATTTATACACAAATAAAATCTTGAAAAAATCATATTTTTGAGAAAATTTTAAAAATCTTGTATCAAACGTGGATAAATACAATTACAACTTGAAAATCCTAAAAAAAAATCTTGTACGGGAGTTTTAAAAGTTAATAAGGGAGTTTTAAAGAGCAAAACTTGGAACTAATAAGGGAGTTTTAAAAGTCCGTTCCCCAATTAGGTCTCATTTCCCCCTTCTAACATAAATCGAAGGGCCTGTTAGCCTTCTTTGGTGATTTTTTATTTTTTATTTTTAAAGTTTCTACACCCAAAGAAAAATGGCGTGACTTCAATATATTTCATCTAACATACCAATCAGAAGGGTCAATACTTCCCATCCTTTTTTATTTTACTCTAAGTCCTATCTTTTTGCATAAACCACATTGACAACTCTCTTTTATTTTTCATTTTAGTTTCACTCTCATAAAATCTTATTGTTTTTGGAAAAATGCTAGACAATCAGAATTTTTTTTTTTGCCAGAAATTTAATAAAATATATTTGACATCTTAATTGATTTTTCAATGGTTGAGTGTGATGCACCTAGAATCAATTTACATGAGAAAATTTATATTTTAAATGTGATTTGATTCCTTTTCTTAATTTTTTAATTATTAGATTGATTTGATTTTAATTGTTTCCCTTATTTTAGGTATGATTAATGTTGTATTTGTAATTAACTATATTTAAATTTTCCATTTTTATAGGTATATTTTAATTATGTTTTAGGGTTATTTGACACCCTATAAAATAGTGTTTAGGACTTCACTTATAAGTTATTAAATAGTGTTTAGGACTTCACTTATAGGTTATTGAATTTTGAATATTGATTATTATTTTTGAGAGCAAAGATTTTCTTTATCAATCCCAAATTCGTTTATTCAAGCTATATTCTAACGTTTCAACAAAAGTTATGACGATGGGTTGAGGAACTAGAACGACAATTTGCGAGATCGCAATTGTCCATTCAAACAGAAGACAAGATGAACTCCAGAGATGCATATGATGAGAGAGACGTCCCCCTCTTTGTTGTTTTGAGCTAGGGACGAAACTATAGATTTCGACTAAGAATTTATTCATCTCTTCCAAACATTGGGATGGAGATCGAGATTCTTGAGTTTGAGGACAAAATTCATCCAAATGAGTTTATCGATTGGTTGTATGCCATCACGAGGATCTTTGACATCAAAGATTTGACCGAATGCCGGAAGGTTAAATTCGTGGCAATCAAATTAAGGAAGCATGCCTTGAATTGATGGAAACACATGAAAACACATCATGCTAGGGATGGGAAGAACATTGTGACATGGGACAAGATGGATAAGATGCTACAAAAAAGGTTCTACGTAATCAATACAAGGAGAATCATTTATTAAATATCACAACTTAAAGTAGGAGGATTTAACGATTAAGTAGTATACTAATGAGTTTGACCGCTTGAGGATGTGTTGTGATGTGGCTAGAGAATAAGAAGAAGAAGAAACAATTGCTTGATATTTGAGAGGATTGCAAATTAAGATTTTCGATGTTGTTCATTTACATCAATATTGGAGCTATAATGATGTGTGTAGACTGACTTTAAAGGTAAAATGGCAGTGTAAAAGGAAGGGTAGCAGTCTTAAATTTCAAAGCCATTTTTTCAAGCCAATGATGACTGCTAATCCAACACAAGTGGTAGCCAATGAAGCGATTTCCAAACCTACTTTCAAGGAAGGGCATAATACTAAAAATCTACTAGAAGAAGAGCTATAGCAAAGATGTGTTACAAGTGTTAATGGATTAGGCATTTCGTCATGGATTGTCCAAATCTGCAGATTGTGACTCTTGTTGAATCTCCGGTCTATGATGAGATCCATGTCTATTATGAATTCGATAAAGAGTAGAACAATAAGAATCCACTTGTTGAGACTCCATTATATGACGAGTTCCCTGTCTATGATGAATCCGATTGAGAGCAAGATCATGCGAATCACTTGTTGATGCTCCAATCTATGACAAATTCCCTGGCTATGATAAATATGAGGGAGAGTGATACGATGGAATCTAGAGGCAGAGGAGATCCTTTATAATGATTATGGTGAGTCCGTAGTTACCAGTAGAGCTTTAGGTGTTGCTAAAGTAGAAGATAAATTATGGCTTAGGCACACCATCTTTCATATTGAGTGCACTAGTGGAGGAAAAGTCTGCAATATGATAATAGACGGAGGGAGCTACAAGAATGACCTGCTTACTATTACGGTGGAGGCAAACTTTAAAATGAAGATAAAAGATATTGGATTGCATCCTTCATATTGTATTTCGTTGAGATTAATGAAAGGGTTACGTGGAAAGTCAAGGAAATCCTAATATCTCCAACAAAGCTGAAGTTATATCCAAAGACGCCATGGAGAATGATTCTTTATTCAAGAAGTCTTTAATTTGCAAGCAAAATGGTGAACTTTGGTACAACGAATATAACAACATCATGCTCTATGGAGAAGACGATTTAGCTTTTGCTGGAAGTTTGATTGGAAATAATCCGCGACAATGGAACTTAATGTTACCTTAGACAAAATTCTCCTATGGCAGATTACATAATCGAATCACTAATAGTTATTTGGAGATAGTTTATGGGCATAATCCAATTACTTATATAGATCTCACACCATTGCAATCCCCACACGATTCAATTCTAATACAGATGAACATGCCAAGCAGATCAAATAGTCATTCACAAGCTCTACTCTTAATTAGGAAATTTAGTGATATAATACTAGAAGAGTTGCCACCCAAAAAAGCATATTCGAGGACAAATCTTTTCTTAGAAAATGAGGATGATGTACTTAGAATGGACTTACAAGGAAAGGCTTACATTCAGAATATGATTTGACTCTTTTCTTAATCTTTTAATTATTAGGTTGATTTAATTTTAATTATTTCTTTATTCTAGATGTGATTAATATTGATTTATATGTAATCAATTATATTTAAATTTTTCTTTATTATAAGCATATTTTAATTATGCTTTAGGACTATTTGACATAAGGTTTTAAGACTCGAATTATAGGTTATTGAATTTCGAATATAAATTATTATTTTTGAGAACAATCATTCTCTTTATTAATTTCAAATTCATTTGTTGTGCTTCTTTTCTATGCCTTTTGACTTTAGAGTCATAGTGTCTAAATCCCTTTATTTCATCTAATAATTAAAGAAGTTATGTCAAAATTGTGAATATGTAACATAAATAAATGTCTTTTCATGTTTCCCAACGTTCGTCTGCCCGTTGATATACTCATGCGATTTGTTCTTCAAAAGGGTTTCCTCCGGAAAGACTAGGGATGCCAAACTCTCTAATAATTGAAAAAGTTACGTAAAAATTCGGAATATGTTTTTTCTTTCTGATAATCCACCTACATGGTATTATTATTACAGACTAAATTCACATTTACAATATGCATAAACATATATTATGACGCAGATTTTTTTTTAGAAAAAAGTTTTAAAGGAAGTACAAACTAAAAAAAAAAATTAATATTTATAACAACAAGGGAAAAACATCTATCCTTTTAAAGGATATAAGGTTATATCATTTTAGATCATAACCATTGATTTCCTTCCATCAACGGTTATAATCTATTGGCCAAATATATTATTAATTAATTAACAATTTTGATCCAATAAATTATAATCGTTGATAGACGGAAATCAACGGTTAAGATCTAAAATAATATAATCTTATATTCTTTAAAATGGCAGATGTTATTCCCTAACAACAATATTGAAAAACACACATTATACATTTATAGAAAAAATATTTGTCCTTTTAAATTACATAAGTTGTGTCATTTCAGGTGAGATTCACACCTTTATATTTTTTCGTCCACTCTCTCTTCTCCTTTATCTATCTCTTTCTCTCACTTAAAATGACCCAACTTTACATCCTTTAAAATGATACACATTTTTTCCTACATTTATATAATTTTATGCACGTTTATATGAGTTTGGTGTTTGTCATTTTAAATGACATAAGTTAAATAATTTTAAGAGAGAGACAGACGCAAGAAATGGAAATCATGGGAGAGAAAATGAGTGATTTTTTTTTTAATTTAAATTTTAAGTAAAAAAATATGTTTTTGTGTCTATCTTTCTCTTAAAATAACATAATTTTATGTCATTTAAAATAATAAACACTTTTCGTAAATCTGCCGGTTTCAGTTTCAGGCATTCAAGAACAGAGACATAATTTCTTTTCAGTACAAAGAGACATAATTTATTTATAAAGGATGCATGATTCGATGAAAAAATGAAGAACGAAGGGTATGTTTAGTTGTGTTGACTTTTTTCTTCTTCTTAAAACTATTTGTTGAAGGTAGAAATGTGTATGGGTCAACCCAAACCGATTTTTTTAAAAAATCAAATTGAATTGGTTTAAATATTTCGGTTCGAAAATGTTTCGGTTCGATTCAAAAGAGATTCGATTTGGTTGGAAACGATTCGGTTCGATTCGAAACCGGTTCGGGTCGACCCTATTTTGAAAATAAAAAAAATGAAAAAATAAAGTTATAAAAATCAATTTGGTTCGGAAACAGTTCAGTTCTTAAATTAGTTCGATTCATGATTTGATTTTTAAAAATCGGTTATTTTAAGTGCAATTTAGTTCGGTTCATGGTTCGGTTCAGTTTTTTGGTTATTTTGCACACTCTTAATTGACAAGTTTGATGTTTGTTCTTTTAAAGAAGGGTTTTATAAGAGTTATGTTGTAGGAAAAGTGATTGTGTAACGTTATAGAGATTCGTTTTACGTGCCTTAATTTTTTATTTATTTTTTTGTTTTAAAAAATGTGGGCCCCACAAAATGTTGTGAGTGTAGAAAAGTTTATTGTGTTATGTTAAAGGATAAAACGAAAACCCTTTAAAGAATATAGAATTGTACCACTTAAATTTTAAAGTGAGAGAAAGACAAAAATAATCAAAATTATGGAAAAAAATGGATGATTTTTTTAATTTAAATTTTAAATAAAAATATTTATTTGTGTCTTTCTTTCACTTAAAATGTCACAACTCTATATTTTTTAAGAGGAAGGTTATACTTACAATCTGTTTCGTTTATAATCTCTTACAACTATATCGTAACCGTTTATTTCCATAAATCAACGACTATTATTTTCGCAAATTAAACTTATTAACTAATTATTATTTTGCAATAAATGATAACCGTTGATTGACGAAAATCAACCGTTAAGATATGTTTGTAAGAGGTTATAAACGAAAATAAATATAACCTTCTTCATCTTTTTAAAGATAAATATTTTTCACTTTGTAAAATAGTTACAAAAACATGTACTTTTTATGTGTTTTTTCTATTTTAAAAATTAAAAGTTAAAACATAAAACAATAACAACTCATATATATTCTTTAAATTTGATTCTAAAAATAAAAAAATAATAACAAATTTAAATTCGTTTTTTAACAAAATAATCCTTAGCAAATGAGTTTTTTATTCTGAAAACCAAAAAATTATTTTTAAAAATATTATTTAAACAGGGCCCTAAATGCCTGTTTTATTGTGTTATGATTTTTTAGTTCTTAAACTATTTCGTAGAATAGTTAATGAAATAAGGGATAGAATATTGTAACAATCAACTAGTGTTACTATCAATGTTATTACCAATCAATTTCATCGTTAGATGGATTATGTTGATCCAACGGTTATATTTATTTTTATCTTTGTATAATTACGATTCCTTATATATAATGTGAAAGCATTAAATATGAGAAATCGTAACCATATAAAAGTGAAAATAAATATAAAGTATTAAATACGAGGAATAATAACCATATAAAGATAAAAATAAATATAACTGTTAGATTAACATAATCGATCTAACAGTGAAATTGATTGGTAGTAGCATTGGTAATAATACTAATTGGTTGTTATAATATTCTTTCCCATGAAATAAATACGTTCTATATTTTTTTTTTATTTTGAAAATTAAAAGTCAAAATATAATAAAAATAAATCGTATGTATTTTTAAATTTGACTCTTAAAGTGAGAAATAATTACAATTACAATTTATTTTTTTTAGAAAACAAACCTTATCAAACATATTTTTTTATATTTGTAAAAATCGAAAAATAATTTTTTGAAACAGATTTCAAACATGCTATAAGAATCCCCGATTTGAATATAATATGAGTTAGATGGTTGAACGGGGAAAGTTATCATGTAAAAGATGATCACGAAGTTGAGTCCATGCCATGCCATGCCAAAATGGGTCCTGATTGGTGAGCGTGCTAAGAGTTTGGAAGAAAGAAGATCCACGTGGGACCCACACCTCCCAGTCCCACCGCTTCACAGAATCACAGACACAGATGAGAGAGAAAAAAAAAAAAAAAAACACAAAATCCCCCCACATTCACAAACCTAACTCTGCTTCTCTTCTTCTTCTCTCTTCTCTTCAAAGTAGAAAATAGAAACCCAATTGCAACCAATTTGATTTGATTTGATTTGATTAGATGGATTCGCTTCCTTCTGTGTCGCCCTCCATGGTTCTACCTGCAAGCAACCCTTTCCACCCTCAAACTCGACGACTTCCTCTCTTTTCTCATCGTCCCCGTCTTCTTACCACCCTCGTCTCTTCAACAAGAAGGAAGCACGTTTCCTGCAACTCGGGCGGCGCCGCCGCCGCAGCAGCAGGAGACGACGAAGTCGACAGGGCGCTTCACTTGGACGGCACCATTCCCGGAACCTCCAACGAGTTCGTCAAACGCGTTTCCTCTCGCGCTTACGACATGCGCAGACATCTCCATCAATCCTTCGATTCCAGCAGCTACGATGGTACGCGCTGCGTTTTGCCTTTTCCATTTTGCGTTTTATGGAAAAAAAAAAATAAAATAAAAAAATAACAGAGTTCATTTTAGGGACAAGGTTGGTTTTTAATTTGTTATTTTTCTTTTCGTCAGTTTTGGATGCCAACCCTTGGAGAGAAGATTCGAAGCCTGTGTATGTGCTCACCCAAAAGGAAAATCAATTGTGCACAATGAAAACCCGGAGAAGTATAAGGTTTCATTCGCTTTGTTCTCTTTCTTTTAAAAAAAATTTAATTAATTAATAATTGGCTTTTGCCTTACCTGAGCTTACTTTTTTTTGTGTAACAGTGAAGTTGAAAGAGAGCTTGGGTTATTGTTTTCTAAAGGAGGAAACTGGAGATCTGGAATTGGAAATCAGACCAAACAAGCAAGGGGAGGGACAAAGTTTCCAATGCTTGTTGAAGATATTAGAGAGGGAGTGCTTGTATGTATTCTATTCTCTCCCTCCCTCTCTCTCTCTCTCTCACACACACACACACACACACATACACATACACACGAAATTGTAGCTAAATTTCTATATTTTTATTTTGTATCTTTCCAAACATCCAATTTGTAACATGAAATGCTTCAGAAAATACTAGAAGTTTATGTGCTTCCATTTCCTTCCAACGTAATTGTAATATGCTTGCTTTGCTAATTGCTAACTAGGATAAAAAAGGGCAACCTGGTGCTATAAATGGTCCAGGAAAGGGTTAGATTCATTAGGTGGAGCTCATTTTAGGTACAACTGGAGTATGTATAATGTACTCCTTTACCAAAAAGAGAAAAATATGGGATGAGTGGAAATAATCATAAAGGTGAGGATAGGATAAAAATATTACTTTTTTCCATATTTAATAAATGATGTACCAAGTACTTGGTGTAACAGGAGCTCCGAAAATGTTTTTTATTACGTGGGTGTTATTGCCCAGGATTGATTTTCAGATTCCAACTGGAAAACAGAGAAGGAGTAATAGAAACCACACTTGGCAGAATTCAATTACTTCAATAATTATACAATACTAGAGGATATTCCTCTTCACAAGGAGTCGGAGCCTTCCTCAGTCCCATATTATTCTCCTATCTATCTTCTGATTAACTCCCATAAACCATCACATAACTAATAAAATACAGAAACAGAATAACTTCCTAATTACAAAGTAACTTCCTTCCTGTTGTGGCCGGCCTACACAGGCCCAGTGGGATGGGCCATACACTTAATGGCCCAATAGAGGTCTCACTAGGTAATACCTTGTGAGTGAGCTCATGGGTCACACCACGGGGATCCCTTTCTCCTTGCACAGCTCAGTTGGTAAGGCAACACCTCACTGCAATAGTGGAGGCAATGACTAACAATTTTGACTCACGTTTTCTCTCTCTCTCATCATCATTAGGGAATATTCACTCCTTTGTATAATCCCTCCTCTCCAGTAGAGGAGGCACCTGGTTTCTAATACGTTTTTGTGCTGTTACTTTGTTGGATTTTAGAGTCACAGTAGCCTACACACCATCCCCCTCATCACAGCCATCTCTGTGATTGCACTAGTGGTGACTCTTCTTGAGCTTTGGTCCCTGCTTCTTTGAACACTTTCATATTGACATACTTCATCCATTGAGGGATATAGCCTAGCTCTTAATCCATAACAGTTCACTTCCCTAATGCATAAACATAAACTAACAATAGCTCCTGTCACAACTGTTATTTACTAATACATAAAAACTAATTAATTAATTAATTTGTCTAGAATAGACTTTGAAGGGTTTGGGTCCTCTAACACCCATTCCGCATCAATGGGTCTACAGGAGGTGGCTTTTTTTGGCATTTTCAAGAGGCAGATTAGTTGAATCAAACCTGTGAACTCCAAGTCACACGGCAATAACATTAATTGTTGTACTAAGGTTTACCTTCCAAATGCTAACTAGGACTAGGATGCAACTTACAAAATTCCTTGATTTGTTTTCCCTAATATTCCCTGCTAGCCTAAAGAATAAGCTGAACCATGCCATTACAGTACTTTCAATGCATTTGCGATTTTTTTATTTTTTTTATTTCCTTTTTTTGTTTTGAGGGCGTGGGAAGGCTGGCTAATCCGAGTGAAGATTCAAATACCTATCATACATTGATTCTTGAAGGTATCCCTAACGGATTGAAGACCATATAAATTAGAAATATTTATAAATTATTAAAAATAAATAAATTCATTTCTAATTAAGACATGAGTCACATGACCATTAATTAAGAAGAAGTGGGGAACACAGAACCTATTAATGCCTAGGATTTTATTGAAAGCAAAAGCGTTGCATTGGACTGTTTTTCTTATAATGATACAATATTGTATATAACATATTGGTTATTGTAATTTTTGATCCATTCACATAATTTAATCACTTACAATTTGACAAATGGTTGCAGGTATTTGAAGATGAAAATGAAGCGGTAAAGTATTGTGACTTGCTACAAGGAGGTGGTCAAGGCTGTGAGGGTGTTGCTGAGATAGAAGCCTCATCGGTACAAATAACTAAGCAAATATTATTTGTCACTGTTCTCTGTTGTTTGAAAACTTATACCATAATATTTGCACAACTTCCTGCAGATATTTGATCTTTGCCGGAAAATGAGGGCTCTTGCAGTTCTATTCCGCAGAGGGAGGACACCTCCTCTACCTGAAAGTCTTAAGCTCAATCTGCGAGCTCGAAAACGGTCCCTAGAAGACCAAGACGATTTGATATGAATTTCAAATTCCCTTGTGATGGGAGGAAAGCAATTGTATACTAATATGCTTAGCCCCCTAAAGGAACAAAAATATGTATAATGATTAGAAATTCATTCATCAGTATAATTGAAAAGAATATAACATGTATCCAAAAAAACAAAAACAAAAACAAAAACATAGCGTGTATATATATGGCTGCTCAATGCTAATGTTCAAATTTTCGGCTTTTCATTGAGAATTTGAAACAACCTATGGAAGGTAGCCCTATATAGATTTTATGGATCCAAGATAAATCGGCCTTATATGTATAAAGAAAGTATCATAGGTGTTGCTCCCCTATTGGAACATGGAATATCCGGTTATCCACTATCATGTGCCAATACTTGATTTTGGTATCAACCAGTAGAATTTTCCACTTTTCCATATGCCAAGACTTGATTTTGGGGTCAACCAGTAGAATTTTCCACTTTTCCTTTTATAGGCCTATGTAGCATCGACACTGATACGGGACACCAGACACGCTACGACACGACATTCTGACACGTTAATTCTAAAACTTATTATATTTCGACACGTTAAGACACAACTAGTAGAATTTTCCACTTTTCCTTTTATAGGCCTATGTAGCATCGACACTGATACGGGACACCAGACACGCTACGACACGACACTCTGACACGTTAATTCTAAAACTTATTATATTTCGACACGTTAAGACACGTTTTGATATTAAATATTATTTTTAATTTATGTAATGTATATTATATTTATTACTCATTAATTTAGCAAAAAAATGAAGTTAAACTTATAATACCTATCAATTTTACAAAGAAACATAAGATATTTTAAATATTTATATTAAACTCAATAAAATGTTAATCGTAATCCAACGAATTTAATAGTTGGAACTAAAAACACAACGCAATATAACATTTGAATTTTTTTTGAGTCTCTACAACGTGTATTAAAGTGTCGGAGTGTCGAAGAGTATCGGAAAGTGTCGAACATGACACGTCAGAGTTTTTGAAGTGCCGGTACTTCATAGTTATAGGCAATATTATGTAATGATTTCCCACAGTAGAGTTATTGTTTTGAGATTGACAAAAAAAGCCAGAGCAATTCTCAATGTTTATGGTCGCAATCTCGTGCATATATAATTCAGATAGTGGCAAGGTCAAGAGTCACTTATATTAAAACAGAAAAAGAAGCACGTGGGAATGATAATATTTTTAAATCAAATTGAAATTTGAATCGGTAAGACTTTTAAGTCGTAATTTAATTAATTTTTTTTTTGGGGTAAAGTAATTTAGTTAATTTAATTGAGTAGATTAATGATTTAATTATAATTTATTTGTAATTGCATGTTAAAAGGAAGGAAAAAATGTTTCTATTTTTATTATAGAAATTTTTTTCCTATCGTATTCACATAAAAATAAATGAGGGTTATTAATCTTTTATCTCTTTTTTCTTTACAACGGAGTCAACTCATTTTTATACGAGTGTCGAGTTGGAAAAACAGAAAGAGTGTTAGTTATTTAATTCCAGTGGAGAAAAAATAAATTACGTTGAATGAGTAAAAGTAGAGTAACTGATAAAGAACCAAAAACTTCCCCATCAGACCACACCTAGAGACTAGAAAGAAAGCCACAAATTATGCTATAGAGCAAGAGAACCACTTGCATTTTGCATTTACATTTACATTTACATTTGCATTTGCATTTGCATTTGCATGTGATTTCCCTCTTGAATTTCACATTAGTAATCAGTTTCCACAGCCCAACGATAATAGCAAACGGCGGGGATGAGCAGCGGCGGTTCGTCCGGGTCGGCGGCGAAGGAGAAGGAAAAGGCGCGGGTGAGCCGGACTTCGCTGATACTATGGCACGCGCACCAAAACGACCCGGCAGCGGTGCGGAAGCTCCTGGAGGAGGATCCGTCGCTGGTGAATGCCAGGGATTACGACAGTCGCACGCCGCTCCACGTGGCTTCGCTCCATGGCTGGGTCAATGTCGCTAAGTGCTTGATTGAATTCGGTGCTGACGTCAACGCCCAGGATCGTTGGAAAAACACTGTACCCTCTCTCTCTCTCTCTCTCTCTCTCTCTGTGACTGCGTAATTGAGGTTTTCTGATGAATGCCTGAAATTTGGTTTTGTTTTATTCTTCGAAGCCTCTGGCTGATGCAGAAGGAGCTAAACGAACCGCAATGATTGAGCTTTTGGAATCACATGGAGGCTTGTCTTATGTAAGTTCGTTATCTCTATCTCTCTCTCTCTAATGAAATTAAGTGGTTTCAAATTAAGTTGCATTTTCCATAATCTTATTTCACGAAACCAAAGGAAAAATGAAATTTGTGTGCTTGTATTGTAATTTGTAATTGATTCCATGTTTGTGAAAAAATAAAATAAAATAAAATCTGCTGCTTTATCTCAAACTTAAAGTGCTGCCTGATAACTAAGATATAAATTATGTGGCTGTGGAATATAGTACTTGTAAATTGGCTTTGACAAGTACTTTACTGCTGCAATTTCAGTTGCTTTATTAATGTGATAGGATCCTCCGGTTAATTTCAATATTTTTATTTAAGATCTTGAGGCCTTAATATTCTATAACCATTATACAAATTTACTCTAGATTGCTTCATGAAGAATCTTTGACTGCTGATGGTTTTGTTACTGTTATGGGTCTCCGAATCTGATCGTTGTTATACAGGGCCAAAATGGAAGCCATTTTGAATCCAAGCCTGTTCCACCCCCATTGCCTAACAAGTGTGATTGGGAAGTTGACCCTTCTGAGCTGGACTTCTCGAATTCAGTTTGCATTGGAAAGGTTTTGTTTACATTTTCTTTATGTCAGCGGCATTGTATTGTATTAAGATCTTACTGAAGAATTTTAGAACTTGCACTGTATGTGGTCTACTGTTTATTGTGGAAGAGTTGTGGGTCTGAAATTGTGTCTTATCATAGATTTCTTTGAGATTGATGTTATTATCCTTCTGGACCCAGACATGCAGGTTTTATAGGTTGTGAATCTGCCACTGCCAGTCATCATAGTGAAAATTTGGCTATTTGAATCTTTTTTAATTTCTGTCTGTCTTGGTTTTTCACTGTTGGGTGATCATCAGTGTTAAAGATTAGTCATGGTCGACTGAAAGAAAAATCAGACACATTTATCTGCACTAGCTTAGTTTGCATTCTGTATAAGCAGTGCTTCTTGCCCTTACTTTTGCGGTCTGCTTTGCTGCTTATATGATTTCACTTATACTTTGCATTTACACTGTTGATGAACTAAATCTGCACTTGATGTTTGGTCTTATTGTGGATGGGTTTTTCCTGAAGGGATCTTTTGGTGAGATTTTAAAAGCCCATTGGCGTGGAACACCTGTTGCTGTCAAACGCATTCTTCCATCTCTATCAGATGATAGATTGGTGATGTAAGATTTTTTTTTTTTTTTTTTTAATTTCTACGAGTTTCAGAGGATGTGTGATCTATAGGTCTTCTGACTGCATATAGTTGATGAATCTGTTAAAACTAATGACTTACTTTTGTCTTTCTTCTGTCAAGTCTTACACGGGGTTATCGGCAGGGGCGCTCCTCTTGGAGCCTGTGAAGAGGGAGCATGGCCCCACTAAAAAGTATTTAATTAATTAATTAATTTATTTTTTTGCATTCTTAAAAGAAATTGAACTTCGCATTCCTGAACTAAAATTGTCTCACTGTGGTCTCTTATGAGCACCGACACTTCAAAAATCTTGACGTGTCGTGTCCGACACTTCCCGACACTCTCCGACACTCCGACACTTCCAGACACTCTAATACATGTTGTAGAGACTCAAAAAAAGGTTCAAAGGTTGCGTTGCGTTGCGTTTTTAGATCCAATTATTAGATTCGTTGGATTACGATTATCATTTTATTGAGTTTAATATAAATATTTGGAATATCTTATGCTTCTTTACAAAATTGATGGATATTATAAGTTTAACTTCATTTTTTGTTAAATTATTGAGTATTAAATATAATATACATTACATAAATTCAAAATAATATTTAATATCAAAACGTGTCCTAACGTGTCGAAATCTAACATTTTTTAGAATTAACGTGTCGGAGTGTCGTGTTGTATCGTGTCTCGTGTCCCGTGTCGGTATCGGTGCTACATACTGGTCCCCCTCACAATCTTCCTCTAGTTCTGCCTCTGGCTATAGATAACCATTTCAATAAGTAATTGAAATGTTTCTGATGATGATATATTGTTCTGGTTGAACCTACTTCTCTTTAGGGAAAAATGATTTATTCTAAAGCATGTATAATTATTTTTGTTCATCAATGAATAACCAAAACTAAAGGAGGGGAATGGGGGAAGAGACCCACAGACTTGTGATTAAGTTTGTATTTTTTCAGAAACAAACCATATTTTCTATCTCTGATTTTTCTGCTGTCATTTGTCAGTCACTAATCCTTTAAACTTTTTTTTGTGGGTTACTTTTTAATACAGTCAGGACTTCAGGCATGAGGTTAATTTACTTGTGAAGCTTCGACACCCTAATGTTGTTCAATTTCTTGGAGCTGTTACTGACAGGAAGCCCCTTATGTTAATTACTGAGTATCTAAGAGGAGTATGTGAATGCATATAAATCCTTCCAGCTTAGCACTAGACACGTAGTTTTTGATGCACTGAACTTATGCTATCTCATGCTTTAAGATTAAACTTTACTAAATTACTATGTCATGCCATTTTTAGGGTGATCTTCATAAGTACCTCAAGGAAAAAGGTTCACTTAGTCCTTCAACAGCTATCAACTTTGCCTTGGATATTGCCAGGTATGGTGTCATGCTTGAATTTCTCTTTATTTTTTTTTATTTTTTAAATTTGTATGTAAAGAGAACAAACAGAAAACCACAAAACAAAGGAAACGTTAGCTCCAGATAATTCTTTAATCATCCCTAAAATGGATAATTCTCATGGGACAGTTACTGAGTCAGAGAAAATGATAGAAAGTGAAAGTGAGAGAGAGAAAGGAAGAGAAAGAGAGAAAGATCTGAATGTGAAATTTTCTATTCTGATTAAAGGTTGATACATGCAATGTGTTGTCCTGTATATAAAGCTATTACACAACGGTTGATCTGTTGTAACAAACTAGAGACACGTATCCTGTACACTAAAGCTACAGTAAGCTCACTTAGGACTATATTACTACAGTCAGGGCCCATAAGGCCCATTACAATATGTACATACATAGAGCCCACTACAACAACTACTGAGCTACTAAAATAAACTCCATATATGCTAATAGCCCCCCTCAAACTCAGGGGTGGTGGAGAAACAGATGTGTGTCCACAACCGTGAGTTTGTCTCTCAAAGAAGCAAAACGAGATGCTGATAAACTCTTGGTAAGGGTGTCAGCTATCTGATCCAGAGCTGGAACATGGAAGACAACAATGTCTTTAGCAAGAACTCGTTCACGAACAAAGAAAATGTCCAATTCCATATGTTTGGTTCTTGCATGTAGGACTGGATTGTGTGATAATGCAACAGTGCTCATATTATCCCAATATATGTGTGGAGTGTAAAACTGAATATTCAGTTCCTGAAGTAAAGATTTGAGCCAGAGGACTTCAGCAGTGGCAAGAGCAAGGCTGCGGTATTTTGCTTCTGTGCTTGATCGAGCAACAAGGTGTTGCTTTTTGGACCACCAAGATATTAAATTGGAATCAAAGAATACACAAGCTCCCGAAGTTGAACGACGATCATCAGGGTCACTAGCCCAATCTGCATCACAAAATGCAGTGACTGAGAACAGCTGGCTGGGATTAGATGGTTTAAGAACCATTCCATGATACAAGGTGCCTTTTAGATAACGAAGAATGCGTTTGACAGCAGACCAATGCTCTTCAAGAGGTTGGCTCATAAATTGACAAGCCTTGTTAACAGCATAACTGATTTCTGGTCTAGTGAGAGTAGCATATTGCAGAGCCCCAACAATTGATCGATAAAAAGAGGGATCTGAGAAGTAATTGGAGCCATGCTTAGAGAGTTTGCACCCTGAAGGAAGAGGAGAGGAGATGCCTTTTGCTTCAGCCATCTTAGCCTTGTGAAGCAGATCACGAATGTATTTGGATTGGGAAAGCAACAAGGCACCTGAAGAAGCTTTCTTCACTTCTATGCCAAGAAAGTAATCTAAATTTCCAAGATCTTTAAGTGCAAAATAAGAGTGCAGCTGCTGGATAAGAGACTGAATAAACAGAGAATCACCACCAGTGACGATAATATCATCCACATAAATCAGTAAAAACACACACTGAGACTGTCATCTGTAAATGAACAAAGAGGGGTCACATTTGCTTGCTAAAAAACCCAGTTGCAGTAAGGCCGCTCTTAGTCTGTCAAACCAAGCTCTTGGAGCCTGTCTTAAGCCATAAAGAGCTTTGTGTAACCTGCATACAAGAGATTTGTCAGAAGATTCAAAGCCTGGAGGTTGTTTCATGTACACTTCTTCCTCAAGAATGCCATTTAGGAAGGCATTATTTACATCTAATTGCTTAATGGGCCAGCCAAAAGAGATAGCAATAGTGAGAATGGTTCGAATAGTAATTGGTTTAACAACCGGGGAGAAGGTTTCATTATAATCAAAACCTTCTTGTTGATGAAACCTTTTTGCCACCAACCTAGATTTGTATTTGTTGATAGTACCATCTGGATTTTCCTTCACTCTAAATACCCACTTGCAGCCTATGGCTTTTCTGTTTGGGGGTAGAGAAACTAAGGTCCATGTAGAATTATTGAGAAGAGCAGTGAATTCTGCTTGCATGGCAGGGAGCCAATTGGGGCTGGTTAAGGCTTGCTTGACAGAATTTGGTTCAAGAGAAGTAAGAAAAACTTGAGGTCTCATGGCAGTTTTAGAGCGTGTGAGAATAGAACGAGTGGGAGGAGAAATTAAGACATTAGAACCTGAAGGGATGTATTCAGAACCTGAACTAATGGAAGAGGAGGATGAAGCACTTGAAGGAGAAGTAGAGGCTGCAAGCGAGGCTTGAGATGCTGATGACTGACCAGGGGAGTGTGCAGGTGTTGTATTCAAGGCTGGAGACACTGGTGACTGAATGAGTGAGTCAGTTGAGTCAGTTTGCTGAACAATATTCTGGGAGGTAGTATCTGCAGCAGAACTAGCATTAGAGATAATGGCTGAATCAGTGTTAGAAGCTTTATATGATTCAACTAGAGGAATGGAGCTGGACACAGAGAAGGAATTGGTGGGTAATGTTGTTGTAAGCTTTGAATCAAACCAAGAGGAGTAGGGAAACTTGGTTTCATTAAAAAGGACATCCTTGGAAATGAAAATTCTGCCACTGGAGCTGAGACACTTGTAACCTTTGTGATTAGGTGAGTATCCAAGAAATATGCATTCACTGCTTCGAAAGTCAAGTTTATGCTGATTATAGGGTCTTAAAAAGGGGAAGCATGCACACCCAAACACTTTGAGGAATTTATAGTCAGGAGGTGTCTCGTTTAACTTTGTGAAGGGAATTTCAAAGTTCAGAGCTGCTGTAGGAAGACAATTTATTAAGTACACAGCAGAAATAAAAGCATGATCCCAAAATTTCATTGGGAGAGAGGCATGAGCAAGAAGGGTTAATCCAGTCTCTACAATGTGCCCGTGTTTTCTTTCAACTACCCCATTTTGATGATGGGTATGTGGGCAAGTAATTCTGTGAGTGATTCCTTGCTGTTTTAGAAGTTGTTGAAATGTACGGTACTCTCCTCCCCAATCTGTTTGGAGAGCCTTGATGATAGATTGAAACTGGTTTAGGACAAGGGCTTGAAAGTGTGTGAAGACTTGCAGGGCTTCTGATTTTAGTTTTAATGGATAAATCCAAGTAAATCTGGTGTTGGCATCCACAAAGGAAATATAATAGGTGAAACCCATGGTGGATTTGATGGGAGCTGGACCCCAAAGATCACTATAAATTAGATCAAAGGGTTTATCATATGTCTTACTAGAAGAAGGAGAGTGAAGTCTGTGTGATTTACCCAAACAACAAGCAGAACAGAAATCCAAGTCAGTTTTATTAGGAATAGGAAGCTTACAAGAGTTTAGTACAATTTTCAGAGCCTCACTATGAGGATGACCTAGGCGACAATGCCACAAGGAGTAGCATATATGGAGTTTATTTAATTGGAAACTACAGGTTTCTGAGAATCAGAAGTACTATTCTGTATACAAGTTGGAGTGGAGCTAGTACATGAAGAGAAAGAGAGAAAGATCTGAATGTGAAAGTGTATTTTCTATTCTGATTAAAGGTTGATACATGCAATGTGTTGTCCTGTATATAAAGCTATTACACAACGGTTGATCTGTTGTAACAAACTAGAGACACGTATCCTGTACACTAAAGCTACAGTAAGCTCACTTAGGACTATATTACTACAGTCAGGGCCCATAAGGCCCATTACAATATGTACATACATAGAGCCCACTACAATAACTACTGAGCTACTAAAATAAACTCCATATATGCTAATATGAGAATTTGAAAAAATATTATATCCCATCAATGAGTCTGCGAGGAGAGCACTCTTCCAAAGGACCTTGCAATTTTTCCTCTTTCAATGCTGCTGAAATGGATGGATAGAAGATGTTCAAAAGAGGCCGACCAACCTACTCCTCAAAAAATTCCAAAAGCCATTTCCAAAGCTGGCAAGCAACCTCAACATCTAAGAAAAGATGACTATTTGTATCTGAGCTCTAAAAGCACATAACACAAACATTGGTATAAAAAATAGTGTCTTAGCTAATTGTCAGTTTCTTGCTTTAAAACCTAATTGCTGTACGATATTGTAAACAACCCATACCCATGACCTTGCAAATTATCTTACATCTTTATGGCTGTTTCTCTGCCCCTCAACTTGCATTGTATTGGATTGTGTTTATGGCTTTTCTGGTTATGGATGTGATAGAAAACTCAATACACAATAGGTAAAAGTAGAACAGTAAACAAATTAAATTAGAATCACTCCTTTGAATCATAAAACTTTGAAACATCTTCTAGATATATTTAATGTCAGTATACAGAGTTACAAAAGCATGCATTCGAGAGGCATTCTCTCTCCTTATTCTCCTAACTGTCTGACTTAATTCCTCCCCCTCAAATTACAATTTCCCACTTTTATTTATAGATCCATAACTGCTATAACCACTATGCAGCAATTTCTACCACCATTATCAAGCATATACTTGATAATTGCCTTCCCATATCCTTAAGGCAGTTATGATAGTAGTTGATGTTAGAAATAATATAATATTAAATAGCATTGTATTATTTATTATTCTGTTATTCTAGCAGGTTATTTGGGCTTGACCCATTAGGTCATTTTACCTCTTTAAATAGAGGTCTTTTGTACAGTTCTATATACAATTGAATACAACACATTCATACATTCTAATTTGGTACCAGAGCTCTTTGTTCTGGGAATTTTTGCTTCCGGTAAAACCCTAAGCCCACTACTTAGGCGTTCTCTCCTTCCTCTAACGCCGTGCGTCCCTCCGGCTTGGTTCTACACTGTTCACGCGGGTTAAAAAAAAAAAAATTACTGTACACCGCGTCCGTACAGTTCGTACAGATTTTACTGTTCACCGTCCGTATAGTCCGTACATATCTCACGGTTCATCGCGTCGGTACATATTTATTGTTCATCGTCCGTAGAGGCACTGTTCACGCGTCCATACAGGTACTGTTCACGCAAAAAAATAAAATAATTTTTATCGGCCATTCCGATACAGAACAGCTCGCCTTCCTCTCCTATTTTCAGATCTGGTCATCTGCTTTATTTTATTTTGTGATGGAGGGCTCAAGTAATGCGTCCAAAAACACGACTGACATCATCTCCAGTACTACCCCATGTCCATTCTTTTCTAAGGCCAGTGATTCCAATTGGAACAGTGGACGCGGTCGCGGACGTGGCCGCAGACAGAGGCCTCGTTGCAATTATTGCCAGAATCTTGGGCATTTTGAAGAACGCTGCTATAGGAAGTACCCTCATTTGAAGCCACCGACTGCCAACTTTGCTCAAACTGATGCTATACCACCTTCTACTGGATTAGTAACTCTTTCAAGTGCCGACTATGAGGCACTTCTCAAGAAGGTTTCGTGAGAATCTTCATGTCCACTTGTTCTAATAAGATGTGCAAGATTATCTAAAGAGGCCTGCATACAAACCTCTTGCTCTGCATACCATCGCTGCAACCTTTCTTGCCATTGTTCCATTCGTCCGTCCAATGCACTCAACCAAGATTCCATTTTCCAGTGGTTGTGGACCATCAAAAGTTCTCGGATCGGGAGCTATGATGCCAATTGACAGAAAACTCAATACACAATAGAGAAAAGTAGAACAGTAACAAAAGTAAATTAGAATTACTCCTCTGATTCATAAAACTTTGGAACATCTTCTTGATATATTTAATGTCAGTACATAGAATTACAGAAGCATGCATTCGAGAGACATGTTCTCTCCTTATTCTGCTAACTTTCTGACTTGGTTCCTTCTTGATATATTTAATGTCTGTGCATAGAATTACATAAGCATGCATTCGAGAGGCATGTTCTCTCCTTATTCTGCTAATTTTATTTATAGATCCATAATTGCTATAACCACTATGCATCAGTTTCTGCCTCCATTATCAAGCAGTTACTTCATAAGTGCCTTCCCATCTCCTTAAAGTAGTTATGGTCGTAGTTGAGATGGTTTTATTTCCCTATACTGTCTCCTAAAATAAAGTAATAAACCTTAGTAATAGATGGTTTTGGTTGTCCAACAGGATGCTTCAAGGGAATTGGCATTTCAGCTTTGCTGCATTTGTTCTATGATGTTTCCCCCTCTGTTTGGGACAATATATTATACTCCCCATAGATGTACTTTCCTTCTCTGCTATACAGATAAAATAAAAAAAGAAGAAATGAAGATGTCCTTGCGAAAATCCAGTTACTTGTTTTCTTTTTGCCTATTTCATGCATCATTCAGAATTTTCCTGTTCTATGATTTGGATTTTTCTCTTTTTTGCAGATTATAAAATGAGACTAAGTGGAGAGTTAGGATAGGAAAAAGTTTAGTTGGAGGATTTGATATACTTCAACAGTATCTCAAAAAAGTAACAGTAAAAGGGAAGACAAAACTTTAAAATGTTTCTAACCTCAAATCTTTAAATACCCAAGAGTGTGATTATTCAAGAATACCAGTGTTATAAATGGATGACTGGTCATTCAACTCTCATTTATATTACTATATGACCTTCTCTGAAATCTGACTTTCCCAATTTCTTAAGTCAACTGTAAGTTTTGATAGCATTGGCTAGAAGTATAGGCATCTAAGTGTTTCTTACAATCATGTTACTTCAATCTCTAAAACTTAAAAGGAGAAAACTGATGGAACCAGAAAATTAACATTGAAATTATAGAGATAATGGAGGCCATACCTCTTTTACATACACTAATATGCAGAAAATAAATCTCAAGAAAGCCTCAACTCCCTCTTAAACCAAACACCTAGGCTCAAGAGTTCCCTAGAGGTCTCTCAAATTTCCACTAACCAATTCTGAATACATGAATAATCCCAAACCCCACCCTAAACATCTCTCTATATACTAATTCTTAATTAATGGGCTTGGTTACTTTATTGAAGGCCCATCAATACTCCCCTCTAAAATTCACCTTGTCCTCAAGGTGAGGGAAGAGTACAGGTAATGTGAGATACATTCCTCCTGGGTCCCAAAGCTTGAAGCATATTGACCCAATTAGCAACTGCAACGTTTTGGTTTCTTGAACCTCACTTTCAGTATATTCCCAATTGATTACCCTCAAATCAGTTTCACTTCTGTACATGGTGCAACCCAGAGTTGGCTGGAATTTAGTCTGAAACATGATTGGGTCCTCTGTTTGTCCCTGATACACTTCCTCTATTGCCTCACTTGCTGTCCTAGCTTTCAGAATCTGCACAACACCTGCAGCTATCAAGGTCACCCCTCTTCGTCCATGAACCTCTCTCCAGATTTTGAACAAACAATTATGGCCCACCACGCTGAGCAAGCTTCGTTGAATGGACTTGTCCTCAACAACGTTACTCACTTCCCCAATTTCGATTTCATCTTCAGCCCCTTCCTCTGCCATTAATCGTCGGTATCTCCCACTGCATCGGACATTGTCGTTGGTCGCTGAACTCCATTGTAACGAACCTTGGCTTTCCCCAATCACCTTGGGTAGCTGCCGAACCTCATTAATTTGGGTGTTACCCTTAGAATTGGGCTCACAGTGATAAATATTTGGCCCAAATTGCAAACCAGCACCCCCTTTCCCCATTCCTTCATAGTTTGATTTATTTGAATGGGCCGTGAGTGCAACCCTCTTAAATATTCCTGATTCAGGCCCATTACCTTGCCCATCTCTGACCTCATTATTCCCAACATTGGGCCGCCCTTCAATGTTACTAAAGGCCTGATTGGATAGGGATGTTCTGGTGTAACTTGCCCTTCCATAATCTGACCCATTATTGGCCCGTCCATCTACAAACCCGACCCGTTCCTTCACCATCTCCCTTTCGTCTAATCTCTGCACAAGGGTCATCGTCCGTCCAAATTCAAAGGAAAAATGAAGACTAACCTCTGCACGAGTGTCTTCCTTCGAGTCTGTTAGAAGAACTGCATGCGTCGTCTCCTCATCAGAATCTTCTTCATCTTCCCCTTCTGCATCATCTTCTTCGCTCACTACTCTTTCTTCTTCTTCAATTTTTTTTTCTTTTTTCTCTGCTTCTTCGATTCTCAGTCCATATTTTTCTTCTTCTGCATCGTCTTGTTGTTGTTGTTCTTCATTAGCCTCTACCTTTTTTTTGTAGGTCACTGTTTCCTTATCTTCTTTGTTGATGATTGGTTTTTCTGATTTACGATCTGGTTCTTCACCTTCGTGTCGCTCTTCTGCGTTTTCAACTTTGGCGGCATCGTCTTCTTCTGATTTTCGATTTGCTTCCTTTTCTGCAACATCAACATCTTCTATTTTGGGATCTGTTTTGTCTTCTATGTCTCCTGTTTCTACGCTATCTACCAATATAATTTCAGGTAGATATTTCTCTATGAACGCCTTCTCAAACTTCTTCAAGTTTGCAGTAAGATTCAACCACTTCCAACCTTGATACCAGTAGAACGCACGCCCTCTTAGCCCTCTCACTGCTTCCCTATATTTTTGATCTTCATTGATTCCTTCGATATGAAAATATTGTTCCAAATCGATCAGCCATCCCCAAGCATCATCTCCTTCTCCAAAGAATTTTGGAACAGCAGTAAATCTGAACTTCATTTTTTTTTTTTTTTCAGATCTGGATCAAGAACACCCCTAGATCGGAAGTGCTCTGATACCAAATTGATGGAACCAGAAAATTAACATTGAAATTATAGAGATAATGGAGGCCATACCTTTTTTACATATACTAATATGCAGAAAATAAATCTCAAGAAAGCCTCAACTCCCTCTTAAACCAAACACCTAGGCTCAAGAGTTCCCTAGAGGTCTCTCAAATTTCCACTAACCAATTCTGAATACATGAATAATCCCAAACCCCACCCTAAACATCTCTATATATACTAATTCTTAATTAATGGGCTTGGTTACTTTATTGAAGGCCCATCAAAAACCTACCAGCAACTACCTAGTGCTTGATGCTGTTTACTTCTCATTGCCATTGATGCTGTCTGATATGTACCTTGAATTTGACTATGAACCAAAGTTTCCTTCAAAGGATCAAGGACATGCTGTGAAGCAAACAGTAAAATTCTGGTTCTGTACCTGCCCTGAAGAAATTGTGTGGTAGTAACCCTGTTACGAGACATATGACCCTTGGTATTTGTTTCTCTGTTTTTTTTTTGTCATATTCATCATTGCTGTGTGTATTAGTAGTACGGGAAATGCTAACCTGACTTGCCTTTTTTTGTTTAAAAAGAAGCACTAAACCAAGTAACAATGGCTATAAATTGTTTTGACAAGCTGACTTAAAAGGGGTTGAAATTCTTGTTATTCTTAAGTTAAGGAAACTGATTAGTTCTATTTGAGGAGGTGGCTGAGGGAGGGATATTGGAGGATACCCTCAAGAATGTTCCAGGTGTTTAACTAAGCCAATCTCAGAGTGTCCTGTAGGACCTGTACTTTATCAATGCTGATAAAATAGCATTAGGAAATCTAGAAATTTATGCAAGCATTCAGCATTGAACCTAACCATTATGCTAATCTATATTTTGTGAATATTGTTTGTAGAGGGATGGCCTATCTTCACAATGAACCAAATGTTATAATTCATCGAGACCTAAAGCCAAGGTAAAGTGATTGTTTCTATCTTATATATGAATTTATTATCGTGATATGGATGACATGACACATACTATATTTCATGATGTATTATTTCTTACAAATTGAAGTATCTTTGCTTTCTCCTAGATTGAAAATATTTAATGTCATCTAGAACATGTAGCTGGAATTTATATGTCTATGCATTACATTTTGATGTTTTTCCCCCCCTAAAATTTCAGGAATGTTCTTATAGTCAATTCTAGTGCTGACCATTTAAAAGTTGGAGATTTTGGACTTAGTAAGCTTATTAAGGTCCAAAGTTCTCATGATGTATACAAGATGACGGGTGAAACTGGAAGCTGTGAGTATTAGAAGTTCTTTCTAATTAATAAGGGAAAAATGCTTAGACACCCCATGAACTTTACCGTGTTTTGAAATATCCACCTTATACTGTCAAATTGGGGCGAAGTCCTTAACTTTCTAAAATCTGCTAAGAAACCCTTCTATTCAATAATTAAGTTAAAATCAGTCATCATGTGACTTGAATGTGTTGATTAATACACATGATAATCTCTGATGCAAGTCGCCTTTGTACTTTTAAATCGGGGTGAAGTCCTTAACTTCCTAAAATCTGCTAACAGACCCTTCTTTTCAATAATTAAGTTAAAATTGGTAATCATGAGACTTCCATTTGTTGATTAATAAACATTATAATCTCTAATTTGTTCATTTTTTTAAGAAAATAATTAATTCATTTTTATTTTCTATTTCAATAAAATAGAAAATGTACAATAATTTAAAAGGAAATGAAAATAATAGAGGATTTTTTTTTTAAATTTTTAAATAATGTGAATAAGTAAGAGATTATCACGTGTATTAATCGATACATACGACAGGTGAGGAAGTTTTTTGGTTTTAGTTATGTACGGCAGGGTTTATTTATAAGTTTCAGAGAGTTTAACTGTTTAAGGGCCTTTCATTTGAAATTGGAAGTTCAATGTGGCTGTTTGAAAATGAGGTAAAGTTGAGGGAGCGTGTGCATTTTTCCAATCAATATAATAATTTTTCTGCACAAAATTGAACTTTCCTTCTTTTGGGGGAAAACAATAGACCGCTATATGGCTCCTGAAGTCTTGAAACACCGGAGATATGATAAGAAGGTTGATGTGTTCTCCTTCGCAATGATTCTGTATGAGGTAATTCTGCTTGCTCAAGATTTATAATCGTGTGATAAAATTTGAAGTTGGTTCCAATTCATGATTCATGAAATCCTTATTTGGTACAGATGCTTGAAGGTGAACCACCTTTTGCAAATTATGAACCTTATGATGGAGCTAAATATGTGGCAGAAGGACACAGACCTATTATTCGGGCAAAGGGTTTTGTCCCAGAACTGCGAGAGTGAGTCATATCTGAATTTTTATTTTCCCATCCAATCTCTTCTTTTCTTTTTGTGTCCTGTACCTGTGTGCTCTCCTATGTGTTTGAAACCTAATATAAATGATTCTTGGGCTTGAACCTAATGGCTTAGTCATCCACTTTCTTCTTTTTCTTTTACTTCTACACCAACCTAGCATCTATATTCTAACTGTGTGTAAACAGTATTTTAAGTCCTTGATGATCTGATTCATTACGAATGAGATTAAGAGAACAAAAGTGATGGTTATATTTTTATCCTGCTTCTTAATCATATATGGAAGAATATTGTACAAATATGCTTATTCTTGCTACTTGGTACATCCAATTTTGAATACTCCTAGTGTCTGGCATTAATATGATGTAGACCCATAGTAAACAGAATTTACATCAGAAGAAATAAGAATGAAGGAGGGGATCACAACCCACATAGTGGCTGACATGGACAAGCATGAGAAGTGAGGGAGAGGTAGTTGGAGAGAAAATCTATTAGGAGTAGTGATATATTAGGAGAGAAAGGGATGGTGAGAAGCAAGGATTGTATAAGTGAATTTGGGGACACCACTGGTGTACTGGGAGAGCCACTGACTTCTCGAAGTGTCAGTATTATTTTCTTTCTTTCGTTATACATTCCAGTACCACACTGTAATCTGGATTTTCTAGAAAATACTATGAATATACACTAAGTTCTGGGTTTTCCAGAAAATACTATCAATATAAACTCAGTTCTTTCGTTTCACTTACTCTGATTCTCTGGTACCTTTTATATGACATCTCTTATTTTAATATCACTTAGTAATAGGTTCTGGATGCATAGCAAATTAGGCTGTTAGAACTTTCAGTTTAGGTCATACTTATTTCTTTCAACTATTTAAAAGAGCAGCTTTAGGCTTGTAATTTTTAATCGTATAAGTAGTCTTATGGACACCTTTCATTTTCTTAGGTTAACCGAGCAGTGCTGGGCTTCTGACATGAATCAAAGACCTTCCTTCATAGAGATCCTTAAACGGCTTGAAAAAATCAAGGAAAATTTACCTTCTGATCATCACTGGAGCTTGTTCACTTCATAAATTCTTGGAACATTAGAATGTTTCAGATGGTTGTTTGCCATTACCATTCCAGCTGGTTGCTTTCTCTACTGCTTGGGGGTTTGTGAATAGAACCAACTTGGAAAACCTGACAAAGTCACGAGGCTTGTTTTCATCTGTTAGATTCTAATGAGCATAAGTGGTGATGTTGATTGCTTTTATCAGGTATCTATGTTCGATTACTCTTTTGTCTCATCAAAATTCTTGTGAAGTTCCGTTCAGCTATTCAAGTAAGCAGATAGATACTAATCGTTGCTTAAGTGTAATATGTTTTTAGTGTACAAAACCCATTGAGGAAATAGAACACATCATGCTATCCACTGTTCGATATTTTATCTTATATTTAAAAATTGATAGTAGTTTTCATTCTTGGATACTGATTTGATCCATTTCTATGTTGTCTTGTCAATGCTACGCACTACTATCAGATTTCCCGTCTCAATTTTGTTTCTCTCTACTAGTTTCACGTGATTTTTCTTTCCTTTACATTGTACCAGGGACCATCCAGAGCAAATATCACAGCTCTGGATGAGAAAATTATATATGCTGGATTTGGTTTATTTCAGTTTTTAATTTCAATTGATATATTTTTATTAGTGCTTAAATGTCATTTTATTTTTATTTATTAATTTTTAGTTGATAATGTCATGTTATTTTTAGTTTTTTACTATTTTCTATTTTAAAAATTTGTAAAGGAAATGAAATAACAAAATATGGTTTTTACCATTTTTTCCCCCACATCTTGGAACCAGGAAATTATAAAAAAATATAATAATATTTTTATAATTACTAATGGTTAATGATGTCAGACACTTTGACCAATCAGATTGTGCTTTAGGTTTTCAGCTATTAAATATTTAAATCTCATTCTTTTTTTTTTTTTTTTTGGTGTGGATTTAAATCTCATTCTATTCAGTTCTTTGAGAGGAGTACAACCTTTGATTCTTTTGGTTTTCCAGTCAAAAGAATAATGTAAAAGCACACATTAATATCCGTAACCTGATAAAAGACTCCCATATCCGAACACCAAACCAAACGACAAAAATGAATACCAGGTTATTTGTCCCCTATCCCCTCAAAATCCCCTTCTCAGAGGGGAGTGAGAAGCTATCAGTATGTTGGACAACAGAACACAATCTGAATACCAGATTGGTTGTCATTGATAAATTCATCCTATTGTTTTAGCCTTGATTGTGGGTAAATGTATAATATAGTGACTTAAATCAACATGACTTTTCTTAGCAACAATGGTCGAATCCCTGGCTCCCACACCCATCGTCCAATCAAAATCAATGGTCAGATTGTTATCGGAGAGCATATCTTTGGTATTACAGGATTATATATTCATTTACTATTAGAGAAGTATGGAACTTAGGTAAGAATAATTATAAAAGGATAGATAAAAGGGAAAACTTCAAAAATTTCCCTAGTTTTCTCAATTATTGCTTATCCCCCTCACAATTTTTTTGAGTTATTTATACTCTTATTTAATTATTTTTTTGACTTTAATGTTTCTACGGTGAATGTAGATAAGTTATTTACTTTCGCTTTCTAAACAACATCGTTTTGGATTGAAAAATTAAAAAATGATAATAAAAAAAACTATTATAACCCTGAAATAAATTATAATTATAAAAATACCTTTATTTCTGCCTCAAAACGACATCGTTTTAAGCTCAATGTAATAAGTTATCTATATTAACTGTAGAAAAAACGAACCTTTTTTTTATTACTTAACCCGCTGACTTAAAGTTTTTTTATCACTTATTCCCCTAAGTGAGGGTGGTAAATGATAAAAAAATTTTTAAGTGAGGGGATTAAATGATTCAAAATTTTGGAGAGGAGATAAATGATTATGAGGAAAGTTACAACAGTTTTTTTAAAAGTTTTCCCTACATAAAATGATAAAAGTTAATTACATTTTTTTCCCAAATTTAACAAAGGATGTACTGCATGAATACTGAAGAAATATTCGTTATGCGGGGATTGTGATCAGTATTTACAGGAAAAATTTAGTAACTTAATCAAAATTTAGCAAAATTGGTCCAATCCCTGACCGCCACACATGATTGTAATATCAGCCCAGAAACATGTAATATAGTCACCAGCCTCCACTGTTCCAAATGCACTGCCCCGATTGAACATGGTCCCCATATTGATGATTGTTCCCATTACGCGAACCCACCTAACAACAAATCAAATAACCCACAATCAAATTCAGCACTTGAACTCAATTGCAAAAATTTAACAATGGGCACCATGAATGTTTGGATTTTTATTTTATTTTTATTTTTGTGTGTTTCCTATGTAGTGTTTCTGAAGCTATTCCCTTAAACCAATTTTAGATTGAAAAAGTTAATTTTGCTTTAAGAATGATGTCCATTCACATGTGAGAGGCATGTCAGGTAGCAGTCCTTTTCCAACACACTCTTTTGTTACTTCATACCCTATTTTTCGTTGTTTCAACTCTCAAATTGGTGCAGCTCATTTACTCTAATGTGCTGCAATTTCTATTGTTATCACTCACAACAACGTGCGCTAAAATTGTAGTCCTAAAGAATCAACACCTATACGGACCCAAAATGCAAAATGCAGCACTTTGCAAATAACAATGTTTTGGACCAAAATGAAATCATGTCGTTCTTGCTCATAGCTTGTTTGCCTAGTTCTATTGATAATGCACCTATTGGCTATTGCTACCTCTATTGCGGGATAGCATTTGCCTTAAATGTATGAATAATATAATTCTTAGTTCCAAAATTATCTAAGAATCATAATAGAAAGGGTAGTTAAAGCTAAATTCTTATAAAATTGATGACCCATAGTATACAAGTAAACATAAGAAATTATTTATCTCTAACTGAAATGAAGTAAATATAGAAAAATAGAAATTAATAGAAAATGGATATGGATAGTTTCTCAAAGAGGAAGAAGACGTGGAACTGTGGATTCCATTTGAATGTTGATGAGCCCTGCATCGGTTTCTTAAGTAGAGGAACAGAACCCATTTGAAATTTCAAAATTTGACTCGAATCACCATTGTATTTGTGTGGAATCAATGTGCTGGGTAAATTTTCATTACAATCACTCCACCTACCTAAATTAGAAACACATAACTCATGTAATTGTAAGGTGATAACAAATTGACAATAACAATAAAAAAATATTTAAAATCTGTGATGTTATATTTATTTCTCTCTTCATATTTATTTAAAATCATGCGTAAATCTTACAATATTATGTAAGATTTACACATGATTCCCCATAACAAAAGAAACGAAAAAAAAAAACAACTAGTTGGGAATCGTTTTTACTTAAAAAAAAAAAAGAGAGTGTTAATTTTTAGTAAAATTGCAAGATAACACTTGTCGTGAAAAAAATAATTTAAGATGAGTCTATTGAGTGAAGCGAAAGAGACAAAAATAAACACCGATTTCTTATATTTGTTAAATTCTATAGATGATGTTGAATTCGTTGGCAGGCCTTTATTCTTTGATGGTAGTTAGAATTTCATTTTGCGGATGAAAACAATATAGGTTTGTTTGAAAATAAAATAAAATAAAAATAAAAAATTGAACAGCTTGAATTTCCAGCTTAAAAGAACAATTGGAGTTCAGTTGATTCGCGAGGGGTAATTTGTAGACAATTCCTTTGATGCATTCCCTTCTTCATGGATTAGTAAAATAAGGACAATAAGTTATGCATGAAGGACAGGCCTATAATTTTGAGATTTGTAAAATTTCCATAAAATGTCATGAGAGAAAAAAAATAATTCAATTCTAACAAATGCTAAAATCCATGTGAATCAATCATGGGAATGGACAGGCATAATGAATGCATGGGTGGTCCAGTTGAGAAAACCTTCAGCTATAGATACATCTCTACAAAAGAGGAAAATTTTTTGAGACATGAAAAAAATTATAAAAAGAAACATGGATTAAAATAAAAATAAAATTATTTTTTAATAAAAGGAAGTGCCAAGTTCGGTTTTCCCGTAATATTAAAGAAATTTTCTCTAGTTAACCCTAATTTTATAATCAAATATGTATGTATGAATCGAAATCATTTTTTATGCTTCAGGATTGTGAAAAGAGGAAAGGTAAAAAGAAAAGAAAAAATTAGTCTTACGTGGGGGAATACCAAATTTTGAATACTTCCGAATCTTAAAAAATATTTTCGTATGGTTCTTGATTTCAGGACTAGAAAAGAGATAAGAAAGAAATCAAATCCCATGATTGACACTGCCAAAGTCCATGAATGTATGTTATTAGCTATCTTTTAGGTCATGACATCTTTGTACCAAACCTAACGTTGTTCATTATCAATAATTTATCATTGCCTCTTACAGCTCCTTGTAGGCTTTTTTTTTCCTTTCCTGTTCACTTTGTGAGAATGAAAAAGGCTAACTTTTCTTGAAAGCGAAGGTATCTTAATTTTTTTGCAATTAGTAGGGAACAAGTTCAACTTTGTTGCCGTATGCACATATGGGTTCCTTTATCTTCCTCAGCAATCATGTTATGAAAGCTAAATTTATTTCTAGATGCTTTTAAGAAGGATTTATATTTTAGGATTGCTTTTATAATCTTCATCTATCTTCTTTTTTATTGGTTCTCTCTTGTTAAAATAACTTCATCATCATTTATTGTATTACTAATTATAGTGTTAATTTTTAAACTACAAAATATGATTTAATTACCGAATTATATATATATATATTTTTGTGAAGAGAATAATATATTCCTTGAGTTGAGTGTATAAGGATTTCTTATAATGAAGAAACACAAAATGCACTAAAGACGCACTGTGACCAAAAACTAAGGGTATATTAATTTAAGATTTTAAAAGATTATTTTGAGATTAAAAAATTTCTTAGATTTTAATAGAAACATATTTTGGGATTAAAGTCCGAAACAAGTAAAAAAAATTCTACAAAAAAAAAATAAACTAAGCTCAACTTATAAAAAATTGTAAATACCATAATTCAATATTATAAAGTCTTCTCAATCACTCAACTCAGTTTTGTTTATCACTTAAAGTCTCAACTATTTCTACCAAAATTATTTGATTGTCTCTATACTATTTCAAAATTTGACATTGTAATATTAAAATTAACAACTTAACAGCTTGATGCACCTGCAAAATTCTATACTTTTATAAATTTATTTTATTAGTTAAAATAGCCGCGTCAACTATGAATAACCTACAAATATTGGACATATGTAGTCTCTCTCTCTCTATATATATATATATATATATAGGTAGGATCCTTTGACACCGGTGTCAAATTTGAAGTTTGACACCTCATCTGAGAACCGTTAGATCAAAAAAGATCAATGGTGTCACATGCTTACAAATCAAAGTCGTTGATCTTTTTTGATCTAACGGTTCTCAGATGAGGTGTCAAACTTCAAATTTGACACCGGTGTCAAAGGATCCTGCCTCATATATATATATATATATATATATATATATCCCTACTTAGAATATTTTGTGGCATTTTTAACAATAAAACAAATTGAATACTGATCCCACTATCCCAGGATAGGTTCCTACAAACTAATTTCATTTTTGTCTTTTTCTAAACGCGTAGAGTTGTCCAATTTCATGACGTTAAATTCGTCAAGTTCATAATGAATATTTTCGTACCATTGAATAATTATAGCTTTTGTTGCCATTTATTCAGTTGTTACTGGGAATCACAATATGTTCTTACATCATAAGAGAATCCCATCATGAACATTTATAGTTTTGAATCGAAATACTTTTGTTTTTTAATGCAAAAGTTCAATTTTAACCAAGATTTTAATGTTTCTCGAGTAAATACATAAATTGCTTACATTCATTTCTAAAATAATATTATTTTAGGTTAAAAGATTAAAAAATTATAAGGATGACGTTAAAATAAATTATAATTACAAAAACACTTTATTTTCGACTCAAAATAACGTCATTTTGGATTCAATACAAATAACTTATCTGCATTTACTTGAGAGAAAAAATGAACCATTTAACTAAATAATTAATGAATAATGAAATTTAATTACTCCAGAATCTGCATTTTATGCTAATAAGATGGCTTTTTGACCCTTTTGCCCCTCATTAATTAATTAATAACCAATTTGCCCCTGATCAAGAACTATCCACCAACCTGCCCCCTTTTAGTCGACTACCTTGCTGTTTTAGTCGAGCAAATGGTCAATCTTCAGAAAGTGGACTTCCGCAAATTTAGTCGACTAAAAAATCATCTTAATCGACTACATTTTTGGGATATTTAGTCGACTAAGTATCGATATTTAGTCGACTAAATGTCGACTGAAACCCTATATTTTCCATGTTTTCGGTCTCATTTCGATTGTTGTTGTTGTGTAAACCTAAATAGCTCCCTTTGTTCATGTGTAATCCTCTCAATCACGATTTGGACCAAATTTGGGGCAATCCACACGCCTAAAGGAAGGGTTTGGGGCGTTCTTCAGCTGCTCCTGCGGATTTGGGGTTTGGGCCGCCTCCTTAGTCGATTAGGTCATCCTACTCCCCCTCTGCCGAATGGGGGTTTTTAAAAAACAAATCCGTCGATATTTAGTCGACTAAATATCGATACTTAGTCGACTAAATATCCCAAAAATGTAGTCGATTAAGATGATTTTTTAGTCGACTAAATTTGCGGAAGTCCACTTTCTGAAGATTGACCATTTGCTCGACTAAAACAACAAGGTAGTCGACTAAAAGGGGCAGGTTGGTGGATAGTTCTTGATCAGGGGCAAATTGGTTATTAATTAATTAATGAGGGGCAAAAGGGTCAAAAAGCCCTAATAAGATGCTAGAACTATACAAGAATCATAGGAAATAATCATAAACTATTTTCCATTTCATTTCTTTTATTTTCATTGTGATTACATATCAATTTATTAATTTTTTAAAGAGTAATGCTCTCATTAAATATTCAATAATGAGTGAAATTAATGAAATAAAATGAAAATATTATATCATTATTGAAAATATTCTCATTAAATATTCAGTAATGAGAATAATATAAAATTTCTATTTTACTATTTAAAAAGCAATAAAATTATTGGTTAAAATAAAAAAATATTCTATCATATTTCATTCTATTTTAATTAATTAAAGGGGTATGATATTGTAACAAATAATTAATGTTACTACTAATCAATTTCACTGTTAGATCGATTATGTTGATTAGTTATATTTAATTTCATCTTTGTATAATTATGATTCCCCATATTTAATATGAAAACATTAAATATGAAAAATCATAACCCTACAAAGGGGTAAATAAATATAAAATATTAAATATAAGAAATTATAACTATACAAAAATAAAAATAAATATATATGTTGGATCAATATAATCAATCTAACAGTAAAATTAATTGATAACATTAATAATAATATTAATTGATTATTACAATATCTTTCTCTAATTAAAATTCATAACTAATATTATTTTATTTTATTTTATTTCGTCCCCTCTAATCTCTTCATATAATTCCAAACAGATCCTAACTAAGTAACTGACTAACTGTTTCACTTATTTTATTTCTGAAAATTCATGTAAACTTAGAAAAATAAAAATCGAAGAGAGAGAAAGCGGACATTTTTTTCTGTGTGAAAAGAGAGAGAGAGAATTTCCATTGATATTGGCGAAATCGTGGTGTCAGATAGAAAAGGCAAGAGGGAAAAGGAAAATAAAAGTGAGAGAAAAATAAACAAAATTTTCCCGGAAAAGGGAACCCAAGAATGCATTGCACGATTCCTGTGTCGGTGGTGTGTTTGATATTTGAGATTTGATCCTTTCCCTTCACTCCCTTGTTCTTGGATCTTTATCTCTTCTTGCTCTCTCCATCTTTCTCTATAACATTTTTTTTTTCTTTTATTTTTAATTTTTAATTTTCTGGTCTTCGATTCTTGAAGTTCTTCAAATTCTGTTGAAGCAATCAGGGCAAGAAGTTCCTTTTTTTAGCCTTACCCACAATAATCTGCTTCAAATTCAATTCTGGCTCAGTTTCAATTTCTCCAAAATTGCGTGACGCGATTCACTCTGTTGCATTGTTTGTTCCCCAGGTAGGGCTTCATGGGGTTGCGAATCTTGCAATGTAATGTGCATGAATGAGTTTTTTATGTTGTTGTTGTTGCTATTGTTTTTTTCGTGTTATGCTGATTTGGCTGTTGCGGGAATGTTGGAAACTTTGTGAAGGTTTTAAGGATCAATGAGGCGGCAATGAGGTGTGTAGCTAAGAAATGGAGGTTAGATCAGAGGGTATACAAGTGAGGTGTGATAAAATTCAGGGTCCTGTGATTCCGAGGACACGTTTGAGGATTTGGTTCATTCGTGTGTGTTCAAGCATTGTGCTGTGGACGTGTTTGGTTCAGGTAGTGACAGTGAGTGAACTATGGCATTCACGTTTGATTTCTGGGATTACTAGTGGTATATATCACATAACACAAGTTCAGCTTCCAATACAAGCTGATAATGGAGTTTCTCAACCGCCTCCTACTTTTCTTCCCGCAAGTTAGTTTCTTAACTGAATACTTGTCTTAAAGTGCTTTCTGTATCAGCTAAATTGTTTGTTTGCTTAAATTATGAATTTGAAGATGTAATGCAACCTTGGATATAATTTAATTGAGCAATGAAATTTGTGTGTATTATTGACCATGTGTGATATTTATTGTTACATGGTTATGGTCGTGATGAACTGAAAGTAGGTGCAAATTGTATTTTTGTTAATTAATTTTCTTGGAAGTTTTTGTTTTTCCATTATGTTATGAAGTAGATTTGTGGATTGTTAAATCTGTTGGGAGCATGAATGATGTATTCATCGATTGTCATATAGTGGTATTCATTACTGATTTTCAAACAGGCTGGGGGCCAAGGTAGTCAAAACCGAGACATGTAGGTCGTGTGATCGTAAGATCCTACCTAAGATATAAAATTACATTCAAACATATGTATATACATATAAAATAACATAAACAAGAAAATTAACATTTAAATCACTATTAGCATTAGCGTGCATAACGCAAAGAATCAGAACAGCTGAATAGCGGACATGCATAACACCTTCAAAGAGCACAACAGAAGAAAGCAAGCAGCAGAAGAGACAGCACCGGTGGTGGCTGACCAGCTGAAACAGGGTTCAACTAGCAGCAGCAGGAGAAACTGAACCAGCTCGTTGTAGCTTGAAGCTTGAAATAGGAACAGCTGCAGGACCACCACCACGGAGATGCATGGGGCTTCAGAACAAAAGCCATCTAAATGAAATGGGGCGAGGGGTAAAAAAATCAGGTTTTTCAGTCTGGTGGGCATGGGTGTTTCCTAAACAGATTTTCTCAGGATCACTGGGATTGTCGCTATCCTACAAATCCCACCTGATCCCACCAAAACGTGTTCTAGAATGTGAGCGGGATAGCTGGGGAGGGGAAAATTGTAAGATCGTGCGATCTCACGAGGATCACGATTTTGACTACCTTGCTTGGGGCTGTTATAAGGCTGTGATTGGGGATTTATGATGAGAGATTTTAAATAGGAAGAAGATCAGATCTTAGGGAGTTCTGAATGTTGATATTAATTTTGATATTTTATCATCATGTTTTGAGGATTTCCTGGTAAGAAAGAGTTGCTTTATACTGATTTGTGGCCCCAAACAATTGGGAGGGAAAAATACTAAATGAAAAGCAAAAAGTAGCATAACTTAAGGTCTAATGCTTCACACTTTCTTCTTTTGAGACATGCATGTATGCACGTCAGATAGTTTTACATTACCTTTTAATTTGAAATTGAAGTGGTAATTATTTCAAAATATCACAAAAAAATCTCCATTCCTAGCTTTTATGTGTCATCCTTCTATAGTAACTTCTTTTATAACTATTTAATATGTATTTATTATGATTTATTTGAAGCTGCCTGCTTTAGGCAGTTTACTTGTGATTTTTGTTTTGGATACTAATATTGATAATTTCCCCAGTGCTGGACCAAATAAAAATATATTTTTATTTTTCTTACTCATTTTGGTAAATGTTAAAGCCTTTTGACCTGAAATCATACAGGAAATTACACAAGTAATGGTTTTCTAAGAGTTTCCTGCAATGGGGGCTTGAATCAAATGCGTGCTGCGGTTTGTAATTCCTTATCTGCCATTTCTCTGTTTCTATTGTATGATAAGCTTAAATACTCATTTCGAGGTATGATATTTCAGATTTGTGACATGGTAACAGTTGCTCGATTTTTGAATCTCACATTGGTTGTTCCAGAGCTTGATAAGACATCATTTTGGGCAGACCCTAGGTGTATACTTTGTTCTGAAAAAAAAATTGATTACCCTCTTATTTGGCCTCCTTATCATTTTAAAGTTTTGTAGTTTTCTTTTTGCAGTAATTTCGAGGACATTTTTGATGTGAAGCATTTCATTGATTCTTTAAGAGATGAAGTTCGAATTGTGAAAAGAGTGCCGAAAAGGTTTAATATTAAAAATGGATACTCTACCCTGGAGATGCCTCCTGTTAGCTGGTCAAATGAAAAATATTACTTGGAGCAGGTCTGCATATTTTATTAGTTGCATTTGAGCAAAAAGCCAAAAGCTATATATTGTACATAATTGGGCTTCTTATTTGTAATTTTGGGTTTGATAATATGACTGATTAATGATTTTTAACCTTAATTTTTATTGCATTGAAATTTAGAGTTTTATGACAGTATGGCTTCTTTAATTTATCAGTCTTATGAGGAGATAGTTTCCCTTAAATTGCTAATTTTTCAATGCTTTTTAGATAGGGAAATAATTTTCTTGTGTTGTGGGAAAAGAGTTATCTCATGTGGTAGAAATAAAATTACAAGTGGAACTCACAGGTAAGAGGAGATAGAAAAAATAGAGGTGGAACCCATCCCTTTTTGTGTGTGCTGAAAATTTGTTTATCTTATGCAACATAAGAGAAATATAACCCTTTTTAGGTAAGGTCTGGGGCTTTGGAACTTTGGAATTATTATCGTCACTAATCCATTATTATGGATTTCTTGTTCAAAATCATGCTTTACTTACTAATTGATATTATTTTGTAGTTTGATTAATCTTGATCTTGTGATCTGATGCACCGAGACTAAAAAGCAGGGAGAACTTGTAGTGTATAAATAGCGAGGGCAGTATAATTGCTCATTTTTCTCAATAATGAATTGCCTCTTTACTGTCTGTACCTGTCCATAGTGTTAGAGTGAATTTGGATAATAGACAAAAAATGTTTTAACCTTCCATATGAGAAGTCATTTTTTAAGTTATTGATTCTTGTTTAAAATGCAATTTTCTTACAAAAAAAAAAAAAATCTTGCAGAACCCTAAGCTATTATAGATGGCTTACTTTGCATGTTTCTCCCTGTAAATAACCATGAGTTTGTGGAATTTGATCTTATTGTCTGAAATGCTTGTATCTCTACCTTTTTTTTTTTTTTGGAAATCTCTACCTTTTCTAATGGACAATTCTCCCCTTCTAAGTAATCAATTGCTTCCTCATCTGGGCTGGCAGTTATTAGCTGAGAAATATAAATTCTGCAAATTAAATGCATTATTATGTTCTTCCTAAATATCTGTACTTCAAAGAGGAAATGACAGCAGAGGAAAACGAATAATACTGGAGAAGAAATGTGTTGAAGTTGTAGAAATATATTAGAATTGAAATAGAGCATTGCAACTTTTCAATTGAAATAATGATCAGTCATATGAAGAAAACTAGAAGTACTATTTTAAGCTATGGGTGACTTCTAGCATTTACATTTAGCAACTAAAATGATTTTCTTCTAATGTAGCAAAACCAAAGTAGGTTCCAAAAGTAACACTTCATTGAGTGTTTGGAAGTAAAGAAAAAATTACTTTCTAATATATTCTTCCCCTCCCTTATTTTGAGTAGTAAATACATTGAGTTTAATCCCATGCTAATGATTCCACACTGCAGATTCTGCCACTTTTTGGAAAGCATAAGGTGTTACACTTCAACAAAACTGATACACGACTGGCAAACAATGGTCTCCCACTTGATCTACAGAAGCTCAGGTGTCGAGTCAATTACCAGGCACTTAAATTCACTCCTCAAATTGAGAATTTGGGGCGCAAATTGATTCGGATACTTCATGAGAATGGCCCTTTTGTGGCATTGCATCTGAGATACGAGATGGACATGTTAGCTTTCTCAGGTTGTACTCAGGGTTGCACTGGTAAAGAAGCTGAGGAGCTCAAGCGGATGAGGTCTTTTATGTTTCTTGTTATGCTCTATATATTGGGTTTTAAATCATTCTTGTTTTTGTCATTCACTGAGAGATAGATATTTCTTATCTGACAGTTGCTGGGGAAGATGTAGATTGAGAAGATCATTTTTGTTTTCGCTATCATAGCTAAATTACCATTGATTTGAAATAGTTAACTATGTTATGCCTCCTATTGATTCGAGATGAGAAATAAGCAGATTATATTATAGTTAGGGATTGGTGGTAGATGCTAGTTACTTGTGCTGATGGAGGCACCTTCCGCTAGGAGCAGCAGATTGATATGTTGGATTTGGAGTATTTTGACACATTAATTACTTGACTTGGTAGAAATGAAGATTCTTGTGATAATTTTTTTTGATATCTGACATAAAATGTTGATATTTTGTTTCTTGTCATTAATTCAGGTATGCTTTCCCTTGGTGGAGAGAAAAGGAGATAATTTCTGAAGAGAGGAGATCACAGGGTCTATGTCCTTTGACACCGGAGGAGGCGGCCATAGTTCTGCGAGCCTTAGGTTTTGGTAGGGAGACACAGATTTATATTGCAGCTGGTGAGATTTATGGTGGTGAACGTAGACTTGTACAACTCAGAGCTGCGTTTCCACTAATTGTGAGTTCAACCCCATTATATTCCCCCCCCCTCATTTTTCTGTCTTAAAATGATTGTGACTGCTACTAATGATTATCCAAAATTGTCCATGCATATTTTGTATCACATAGTTACATGGCAGATTCTACAAAAAATTGTTCTACTTGGCAGCATCTGACTTTGAGTTTTCTCGTTTCCAATTTTAGGTGAAGAAGGAAACATTGCTGGCCCGCGATGATCTGCAGCATTTCCAGAATCACTCATCGCAGATGGCAGCCTTGGATTTTATGGTATCAGTAGCCAGTAACACCTTTATTCCTACCTATGATGGGAACATGGCAAAGCTCGTGGAAGGTCATCGTAGGTATGCATATTCACCCTTAGAGTTAAGAGTTTGCAATATGATTTTGGCATGGAAAGTTTATAACTAACTAAGGTTGATGTGTAGGTATTCTGGTTTTAAGAAAACCATCTTACTGGATAGAAAAAAGGTAGTAGAATTGGTTGACATGCATCAGAATGGAAGCCTTCATTGGAAAGAGTATGCAGATGCAGTGCGAGAGGTTCATGAAAAGAGAATTGTAAAGCCAACTCGGCGTAGGGTTATATTAGACAAGCCAAAGGAAGAAGATTATTTCTATGCCAACCCTTACGAGTGCCTTTGTGAGGAAACTAATTGTGATGACTTACTAGGTCAACTACCATAGAGTGCATCTTTGTAGTAACAAATGCACTCTTCTGCTCCACCATGAGTATACACGATTTTTGTAGGGAACCAGGGAAAGGAAAGCAAAAAAAAAAAAAGAAAAAAAAAAAAGGAAGAAGAAAAAAGAAGAAACAAAAAAGAAGAAATATTAGCTTCTATTGAGGCATGCAAAAGATGGCTCTTCAATTTTACCCTTTATTAATTAAATTTTTTGTTTGTCCTTTAAAAGTTCATTTAATAAATTTTGGACAATTCATCGTGGATATACACATTAAAAGAGAGACAGAGATAGAGAAAGAGAGAACGGGAGAGTAACCACTTATCATATCCTAATCTTAAAAGACTAAGGTGATGATGACTATATAGAATTAGTCCTTCGGTGATCGGCAACTATTTCTCATGTCCTTTTGAAGTGATTACTTCAGTACTCACCTTTTCCCCCCGGGTTCGTACTCAAATTATTATATTTAATGTACTTCGAAATATCTTATATTTAATTTATTTTGAAATATCTATGATAAAGTTAGTTGTTAAAAAATATTTAAAATTACATTTAGCTTAAATACCCAAGTTCGCCTAGAAGTTATCACTATTGTGATATAAGATAGATGAAATTAAATTTTCTCATGTCTGATTTGATATGATCATATCATTTTAAAGGATCTTAGTCATTCATTGCCACTATTGTGTACACATCATGATGGTAACTTGTAAGCCATGAGTTTTTTTATTGATTTTTTTATTAGGGGGTGTTTGGTTCGGGTATTCTGGTGAGATACTTAGGCATCTGCAAGTGGCATTTTTTCTTGACCACGTTTGGTTCAAGTTATTTATAAATTTAGCAAGCAAACATATTTGTCTATCTTTTATCAATTGTGAGGAAAAAACAGACAATTACACAAAGCAGAAATCACACTTCGAATGTCCTATTCTTAGATGATTGAGGAAATGGATAAAAGAAAACGAGAGACGTGACTGAAAGGTCCTTTTCTAATCTAACTTCATCAGACTGCACATCTATGCCAAGGTCATTTTCTGCTTTCTCCGTTGCGCTGAAAGTATCGAAGGTCATTTTCAATCTTCTTCGTTGCACACATCTATAGGCGACTGTTGAAAAGAAGACGGGTGTTTCCAATCGATACTGGTGGTGACCGCTCTGGTAAGTATGTGCACATAATTTTTTTAATTTTTTTTTTACCGACTTTGAAAGGAGATGAAGAGACGAAGACAGATGTATGGTTGATGGTACCCTGGCTACGTTGGAGGAGAGATGTAACATGCAAGATACTTCTATTCAGATTCAAAAATATAAAAAATGGTTATTTTTGTCATTTTACACCACTTTTCCATCAATGTTTTACCCTCAATCAAACATAGACTGATAGACTTACAAAACTTTAATCAATTTATCCAGTAATATTTCGTCCAACCAAATAACTTTTTTTCAACTTTATCAATAAACTTAAATTCTCACAATTTCACCGGTCATTATATTTACCTAGTAAATTTTTTTTCCCTAAACCAAATGACCCCGAGTTGTAAGTTTGAACCATGCGTTATATCGTAATGAGTTGTTCATTATACATGGGCTTCTCGGATACAAAAGAGTCATTTCAAATAGATTCATTGCTCCGGCTCATAATACTATTATTCTAGCATGTGCTATCTATAGTTTATTAGATAAATTGGTAAGTCGGGCATTTCCCGCCCAACAAGTAAAATTAATAGTTTCTTGATTATGATTAGTTAATGTTAAAATTTTATTAAGAGCGTTTGGTAGAAGCTCCTTAGAAAATATAAGGATTTCATGAAACTGATCTTTGAGTCTCCATGAGAATAATTGTATGTATTCAGTCATGATTTTAAATCAAGTTGTTTATATTTATGAATTTGCTAATATAACACAAAAACTAAATCTGCACGAAGTCAAGCGTCAAGCAAATAATTTTATAAAATTGATATTAAAAAATAAATCCATATCTAAATCATTTCTAATGTCTATAATTTTATTTTAAAAAGTCACAGCAAAATAATATGAGGTACACGAGATTTTATAATATAAAATATTGTAAACTTTTAATTTTAATTACATCAAATTAATCATAATACAATATAATTGCACCGCATAAGTAAAAAAAAAATTGAATGTACTTTTACCTGAGAATTTGAAAGGGCAGGAAAAAAAATTTGTGCCGAGCGAGAATTATGATTTCCAAAAATATGATGAGAAGATAATTTTCCGAAAAGACTTTTCTTAAGTTTACTGTTGGATTGTGCTGAAAAACTTTAAGCAAGGGTTACACTCATTATACTTCATATCTAACGGTCTGTTTGTCGATTGGAGCTCTCAAGAGGGATTCATGCGACTGCAAATAGAAGATGTCAGTATTCCTGCTCTATTTTGGGCACTGAGGTACAAAAGGGAATATTTCTTTACTCAACCATTGGATTGTCCTCAAAATTAGTAAGTGTCCTCCTATCTTGTATTTAATTAATTTGATTGTTGCAATTTTGGAGTTGTTACTTCTGGTAGTTAGAATACATTTTGGACAGAAACTTGCTTATATGTATACCTCTTTAGTTTTTGGTACAACTTGTTGTTGAGTTATTTATTTAATCTTACCATTGGGATTGTGTTTGTCTCTCCATATTCTTCAATTGTTTACATCTTCACGAGTTCACTAAATAATTATTCGTCGCAATATACACGGAATTTTGAGTTAAAAAAATTCCAAAATTTAAATATTAAATAAGTTAGTGTTGCAAGGGAATTGTAATATCCGTCGCAAACAGCTACGGAGCTTGCAACAGATATTATGATTTCAAAACTTGGCGAAATTGATAAATTTTGAAATTCAAATAAGTAGCCAAAAGTTTGTGAGGGAAATGTAAAATCCCTTGCAATTTTGAATTATTTTGAGAATTAATGATCATTAATGGTTATTGATTTGTGATTTGCGAGGGAAAACGATATGTTGCATTTTGCGGGGGAATTGGCGAGAGACTTACATTATTTTTCGATGCTGGTGTCAAGTTAGGGTAAAAAAGTTAACATTTTTCCCTTTCACCGTCATTGTATCTGCAAACCCTCAGCCTCTTAGTTTCCTCACAAAGCCGGCACTCGTAGATGTTTTTAACGAGGCAGTTTATATGAACATATAAAATGTGGTATAGTAGCTATAAATTTTGTATTTTTTTTCCCTTCGCTTAAGTTTTTTATCCCATTGAATTTTTCTTAGGAAGGTTTTAACGAGGCATATTCATAATATATAGCCATCCAATTAAAGGGGAGTGTTCTAAAATATGGATAACTTAAATCGTGTTATCGTTATGCAATTATAGATGACTTAATTAATCATGTTATCATTATGTTACTATTGGAACTAATGGTGCAATTATCTCTTATTCATGGTTGTAACTTTATATATTGACATAGTTTGTAATTGGATATATAGCTGAATACTTCTCTTCGTCTTCTCTCTTCCCTTTCTCCCTCATCCCCCTCCCTTTATTTCATAAAAAAGAAAAAATTATTTATCTTGCATTAACATTTTTCTCTACAAAGGCATAACATCAACTACATTGTAAAAATTAAGACATAGGCTTTAAGTTTTTTTTTTTTCTGGAAACTTTACGAAGAAAACAGCAAAAAAAAAAAGACACAAATAAATGGTGCTAACTACAGCACATCCTGGGTAAAATTCTTCACATGCATTTTTGAACGTATTTATTGGTGTTAACGCTTTAATAAGTTCAATGTACTAACAATAAGTACAATTGCTTCAAAAAATAATAATACAAATACATTAATAATATATTTGAATGCATTAATAATAAAAGAATTGTATAGATAATGATAAAAAAAATTGGTAAACAATAAAATTTTAAATATAGGTAAAAAATTTACCGGTTCAATTTTTTTAGTAAATTAATTCAATAAGATTTTATATGTCCTCTTAATTTTTTGCTTAATAATAATTAGTAATTAATTAATATTCAATGATAAGTAATTAATTTTAATATTTGTTTTCATTTTATAAATTGTCAATAAAATTGTTACCATTAATCTTTATTGAATGAATAAGATTCATAACATGACATGATGATGTTAAAATTATATTTGAAATCATCCATTTTCATAGGATTTTTATATTCTAGATTTATATATTTTTTATATTTTTTAAATGGATATTGGGGAAGGTTATACTTACAACTTATTTTCTTTACAACCTCTTACAACCATATATCTTAACCGTTGATTTCCGTCAATCAACGGTTATCATTTATTGTGATTTAATAATTAATTAATAAATTTGATTTGCGAAAATCTTAACCGTTGATTGACGGAAATCAACAGTTAAGATATATGGTTGTAAGAAGTTGTAAAGAAAATAAGTTGTAAGTATAACCTTCTCCATGGATATTTTGATAAAAAAAAAAGAATTTAGTTCGTGGATAAGTTTTGTACCAATTTAGTAAAGTACTTTTGTAAATTATTAGTTATGTTATTAATTTCTGTTGATAATTATTAAAAAAATGAAATTACAAATTAATTGTAATTATTATTTAAAAATATATAATCAATATTATCATTACAGATCACATATTTTATCATAAAAATAAATTTTAAAATTAAACGGGAATAATTGTGAGTGCTATATATGTGTAGTTTTAGATGCCAAAATTTATCCAACAAGCCGCAGAGAAATAGACAATATCTACGCGTTATAAAATCAGATAAAAATTTAGAAAAGTTTAACACAAGATTCATAACTCATGTTACTTCAAGATATAAATCGTAAAAAAATCGCTATTAGAATGGTACCCTAATAAGAATGTTTCCAATATTCCATAAAAATTTAAATAGAAAAAGATATTACATTAGTATTTTTCTCTACAAAAGGGTAACATCAATTGCTTTGAAAAACTTAAAAAATAATTACTCACATGCACTTTTTGGGTGTGAATGAATTTATTGGTGTGAATGCTTTAATAAGTTTCAATGTATTAACAATAAGGTCATAGATTCGAATCGAATAAGTGCAAATGCAATCAAAATAGATATGAAT